AAGCGGCCCTAATGAAATCGATTGATGGAGCGAGTTCCGACATTCTCTTGAACTTGGCAATCACAGACAGTGGAACAAAGCCCTGGTCGTTCATTTTTCTCCGCAGAAAAACGTCCTTGACGAGGTTATCAAGAGAAAAGTAGTACTCAACTTGCAAGGTCAACCCGTGGACCAATTCAACATCCATGTAGGGGCTGAACGCCTGAATAGGATACTGCGGCTGAAACTCAGTAGGGCCGTTCATAACACCATGAGTAGCGTGGCCGTGCATTCTCGGGTTGTTACTCACGCCATTCTGCAGGCGGCTGTTGAAGGACATCGGGCCTTGCGCGGCCAGTTGAGCCCGCGAGGCGTTTCTTCCTCCAATTCTCACGGAGTTATGCTGGCCCCCATATGAATACTGCTGGTGAAGTGGGTTGAACGGGGCTGCTGTGGGTGGAAGTACGGCAGCACTGCTATTGTAGGAGTTGGGTGGCAGCCTCTGTCCGTTCGGTTGGTATGTGGAGTGACCGATGTGCTGGCTGTTTTGCGTGACGCCGCCAGCCACACCGCCACGCCCACTGCGGAAACCACCACGTCCAGGACGCTCTCCCCGCGGCTCGGTTCGTTCTCGGTGGTTCGTGCCATGTTGATCCTTGTGCTCCTGTGAGTTGAAATCTTTCGCGGCAGAGTTGAAATGACTTGTATTCTTCCCTGCGTACGGCGGGCGGCGATCAGTATGCGCAGAGGGCGTGGGTTGGTGGTGCTGTCCATTCGCGTCACCATTGGCAGCAGTGGTGTGGGTGTTGTTGTGGTGGGCGCCCTTGAGGGCAAATTCCGATTTGCCAGTAGCCTACATGTAGATGTCAGTAAAAAAAATTGCACTGTTTGTGAAACACCGTATGAGACAACGCGAGGAGGATACGAGGGTTGCGTACAGTGTGGTCGGCGGCAGTCTCCTTAGGCTTCTCAGGCAGTGTGGAAGCGGAGGGTTTACGTTGTTCCCGAGGATGCGCGTGCGACGCATCAGTCGAGAAGCGTTTATGAGAGGTTGTCGTGTGGTTTGATGGACGACTGGGTAGTGTGCTTCCGTTCGTCTCTTTCGTCGTCTCGCGGGCATCAGAATCGGCTTTATGAGCAGGGGAAGATACAGTAGTCGTCGCAGAGGCCTTCTCGGTGCCCGTCGGCGCAGTGCCGTTCGTAGCGGCACCGCTGGCGCTGTTGTTGTTGTTGTTGTTGTTGTTGTGGCCACTGGACTTCGATGAAGTCTCACGGTTGGCTCGGTTGCCTGCCTTCGGCTTGGAGCCGCGTACATTCGGTAAGGGCGTCTGGAAGGCAACGGTGGGGACAAATGGTAGTGGTGTCCAGCCCTTCTTACGGGACTTTGCAGAACCCGCATCCTCTTGGGAAGTATCGACTGGAGCCTCGACTTTGGTGTCTACCGGAGGTAGCTTCGATTTGGGCTCTTCTGAGACGGTGGCCGTGTCAGGCGTCGGCCAAGATACAGCATCACGAACAGGGGGCAAGGAATCGCGTGTGGCCGTAGTGAGCTTCTCGTCCCTGTCCGTAGATCTAGCACCACGAGGTGCATTGCGGCGTGCGTGGTCGTTTCCACCAACACGAGTGCTCTCGTTCAGCCGCCTTGTCTGCGACTTGGCATTCCCAGAAGATGCGGTGCCGTTGGCATCGACGGCAGCGTCGCCTCCTAAAGACGCGTTGCCTTGCTTGCGTGTATCCTTGGTCTTCTCCTGACTAGTAGTGGCCGTGGTTACTGTCGTCGATTTGCCGCTTGTCGCGACAGGCGGGCTCTGTTTGACCTTTGCGGCCTGCTCAATCATCCGCTGGCTCCAGATGTTCACAGTTGGGAGTGGCGCGGGAGCCAGCTCGATCTTAACGGGCTCTTTCCCCTTATCGGCTTCCTCGGCCTGGGCCAGTTGTGAACCATCTTTGTCAGCGGCGGCTTTGGCTGTTGCCTTGCCCTTGCGGCCACCTTTCCGTGCCACATCGTCGACAGCCGGTGATCGTGTGCCGGGAGTGGAAACGCGACTCGGCTTGTCGCTGGAGGCCACAAGGACCGTTGCATCGTCGAGCGAGAAGTTCGACGTGGACTCGTTGGTCGTGCCAGCCAAGGTAGACGACGCTGCAGGAGATGAAGGAGCCTCGGAACCGACTTTCAAGGGGCTTGCATTGGCATCGTGATTCAATGTTTGTGCGGACGCCTTGCTGGAGTCGGTCGTGGTAGAGAGAGCCAAAGAGGCAGTGGTTCCATTTTGTACAACGGAGGCGGCGTTCTCGTTAGTTTTGTCCGGTGTAGCTTGCGGAGTAGCAGCCGTCGTATTCGACGTCGGAGCAGACGTTTGGGATGATGGTGTGGATTGGCCACGTGCGGCCTGGGCATATGAGAAACCCGACATAATGGCTGCGGGTTGAGTGATGGCCAAGGTGATCAAAACAAGGATGCGAGGAGCAACACAGGAGAAATCAGAGCGCACGCTCAGCAAATACTGCGTGATGCGCTGGCCCTGAAAAACTAGAGGCCTAGATTGTCCGCCAGCCTCGCAGCTTGCTATCTATGTTGGAAGCTCTCCAATCGATATGAGACCGGGCACAGCCGCCAATCGTTGTGTGTCCTGCAGGAGTACCAGAAGTTGGTTCGTGCTCGACACGTCTGCTGGATTCAAGACGAGATGTGATGCCGATGCCAGCCGGGTCGGTCGTGGGCACAAATAACAGCCTCAAGTGGTGATTATGAACGTGTGGTGTTGTGTCTGAGAAGCGGATTGGTTTTGGCAGCTGCGAAAAAAAAAGGAGAAAAGTTAGCAAAACTGTTGTCCATAGGTAGTATCCGCGTCTTTGACTAGACCCCAATATACGTCCAGGCACGAAGAAGGATGCGAGTATCGGAACGCGACCCAGGGCCAAACGCGTGACAAAGCAAAGCGGTTGTAGGCCCCGGATGTGGTTGCCTATTACCGACTATGCTCTTCCTGATGCGCCCCGAGAGTCCGACGATGCGAGTTTTGTATTTTGAGCAGTGCTTGCCTTTGGTTATTGACCGTCGATGGAAAGATGCGGTTCGAATGAGGTTCGTCAGTACGCCACTCCGGAGGTGCTTTCGAGTAGCAAACGGTATCGAAAATCGAGACGGCAGCAGCACGATGCAAATAATCGTCGAGATGTACGGCAGGGGAGGAAGACAGTGTGCGTCAGGGTCTGAAAAAACAAACACAATGGCACACGACGGTTGTCGAACGTTGCGTGGGGTGTGTCAAACCGCGACAGGTTTTGCTGGATGGGTGCTGGTGTTGTGAGGTGTAATGCTAATCGAAATAACGCTGTGACAAAGGCAACAGATGCGAAATCATTAGCAATCGAAGCTGCCTGGGAGTGGAAATGGCGAGTTCGAAATGCAAAACGCAAATGGTTGGTGCAGAGGCAGGGAGGAAAAGGGCGGAAAACGCGGTGGGCTCCGGAAAAGATGTGTTTGCCTTATTTTTTTTCTCGGCTGTTTCGAACGAAAATAATACTAAAAAAAACAAGAGGAAAAAACTTTTGGAAGGGCCGACAGAGACGAGAGGAAAAGAAGAAAAAGCGTAATGAAAGGGCAATGGCCGTCTGTCGGCGAGAACAAATACAAAAGAAAATGGTGTGCAAATGCGCAATTCGAGATGGGAATGCAAGCTGTGAGGGGCGAGAGCAAAAGCTTCCTATTGCATGCGGAGGTGAGGTCGAAAAGAACGAAGAAAGAAAAGCATGCACGAGGTATGGTCTCGCGAGGCAAAAAGACAAGACTCAAGCCGAGAGTGTGCGTGTGAGAGGCAAGGGATTGTGGAGGGAAAAGAACAAGGGCAGGTTTGTGTGTGCAAAGTAAAACTTTTTTCCCTACTAAATTTTTAAAACGGGTCGCTGCTGAGTGAGTAGTGTCTCTCAGTGCGTTGTAGTGAATGCGGTGGTTGCTTGCGGGTAGGTTGATTGTGTGGGTTGTGCCGATGAGGAGGCGACAGTGAGCTTAATTCGCGGAGGGGCAGGAGCGAGCGAAAGAACGCAATCGAACCAAAAGAAGGACGCAGCAAAGTGGAGGCAGGAGCGTTGTGAGCACGCGGACGAAGAGCAGGTGCGATCCTGGCCAGACTAACAACGGAAGGCGTGCGCCGTGTCACAGGAAAAGCAATTTTGGGGGCTACAGAGCGCAGTTGTTCCTACAACATACATCCCTCGTGCCTGCCGTGCAGTGCGCGAATATGAGTCGGCAATTTTGGTCGTAGCGGAGTTGCGGCTTGCTGGTAGTAGCAATCGCGCTGTCGTGCGTACAACAGTCGAAAAACACGGATTCGGAGTGCAGATTGTGGAGCCCAAGCACTAACAAATAAATACCTTGGCCAAGCGTGACAGCCCCGCCTAATTGCAGGTCACTTCCGAGGCGCAAGTGCAGCGAACGAAAGCGACTATTTATGAACAGTGTTCTTCCTAAGAGTCTAATATATATGTATGCTCTTTACAGTGTTCTGTCAAGCTCGTAAATTGTCGTTGGTGCCTTCAACCGTAATGTGCTTTGGGAAGGCTGAGACGATGCCCTCCATATGTAACCAAGACACGGCAAGTGACGACGTTGCAGCAGTTATGCGACTCTTGCAGCTAGCTCATATCACCCCATCACAGCCGCGGCTCGGCTCACCGGGAATACTTACAAGTAGGATACACCCTCGCTTGGTCTGTTAGGTCTCCGCCCAATCTCCTTTTGCAAATTAGGATTTCTAAATGCCTTTTATTCAAACAAAAACAAAAAGGACGCAGTTCAGAATTACAACATTTATACATGAGAGACAACAGAGAGAGAAAAAACATGTGAGCTTATCCACCAGACGAAAAGCCCAGGAAAGGCTCAACACTGTTGTAGGGGTGTGAGGTATGTAATATGTGACGGGGCGTTTGAAGTGGAAGTGTGCCGCTTGGGACACAGCAAGCCATCAAGCTGTGACGAGTGCGCCACTTTAATATCTCCCTCCGTCGGTCGCCGGCCCTTAGGATGTCATCCAAGCGGTGGCCCGGCGGGCGCCGAACGTCGTGGCCAGTCGCAGACCGCTTGAGCCCATCGGGAAATAGCTCACGAGGTACCACAACAAGCAGGCAAGTTGGATGATTGCCGAGATCAATGTGAGTATGGTGCTGTGAAGGCCAAGCGAGAAGTACAACGTCAGGGTGATGGAGCCAAAGTAGGCGGCGGTGAATGGCAGCCGCGGCGTTGAGGCCAGGTGCTGCACATAGGCCCAAGGGCCCATCATAGCCGCAAACGACGACAAGAAAAGGATCGACCCAAGTGTCCATCTAGTCAAAGGGAAGGCAAAGGGTCAGCAGACTGTGGTCTTTTAAGATGGAAGACCCCGTGAGGTCCAAGGAGGCTGAGAGGCGACAATCCCAGAGCTGAGGAGACTCACAAGATAACAAACTTGCGTGGGCGCGTCGCGACAATGGGAAACAAAGCAAAGCAGATTACAAAGCACGCCAGGGCACCAAGGTTGCAGCCGCCGAAGATCAACAGTCGGTCCCATCGACTCACTGTGCATGGAGGCAAAGTGCCGTTCTGGTCAGCCTATCACAGAACTTTCTATTCACGTGGACATGTGTCTTATAGGTGGACGAGCTAGAGGAGAGGGTAGCGGGACGGCGTGCTGATCTCATGAACATGCAGGCACGGGAGTCAAATGCAAGATCCAGGCACACCCGACGGGCATGCATGATCCACCAGTTGCCATAGAGGAAAACGCGCGCGAGGCGACAAGACAATAGAAACAGGGAGAGAAATGGGCTCCTCAAGATGCAACAAACTTACAGGCAAACCAGCCTTCTTCTTCTTCGCGCCTGGTCGGCGCAGGCAGCGGGGCACCGGCGCCCTCGCTTGTAGGCAGGCTAACATAGCCACCGCCATCGCCAAACGGATTCAGGGACTGCAGCGAGGACAAAAGACCCGAACGCTGTGTGGTGTTGATAGGCACATCGGCTTCGCGCCGTGACCAGCCTAGCGAGTTGAGAGAGTCTCGAAACGACTGTGACGTCATGTCGGGTAATCTTAGAGGGAAGTCTCGAAAGAAAGTGAGAGAAGGATAGTTCTCTTCACGCCGGGAGAGAGCGGGAACGTCGGTATTTGGAACGTCGGTATTTGGAACGTCGGTATTTGGAAGGAAGCAGAGGGCGCGAATGTGATCTACACAACACTCCCAGAGTCCCGAAATTGACAAACAAGATACGAAAAGGTGCCAGTAAGGTCTGTCTCGGGATGCGATGTGTTCGAAGTGGGTGTGTGGGAAAGGGGTGGGCGTGTGACCTATGGAGAGCCGCGAAGGTGTCGAGGTAGGACAGGTTGTTGTAGAAGGGTGTGGCCCGACACGGAGACGGACGTATCCCAGGCGCGGGCCAGGGCAGGTGCGAGGGCCGGGACGAACAGGAAAGGCGCGGGAAAGCGTATCCTGTTATTGGGCCAGAACTATATCGGTGCAGAAGCAAACTGTTAGCAGGCCGCCCACAAGTTGACAACTGAATATGCCTACCAGGCAGGCAAGGCGCCTAGCAACAATGCTTGCAAGCGTACCTAGTTGACGGTGCGCTCTACGAGTTTGACGACTTAGTCGAGACAGCGCAACGGGGTGGGCAACGTATGTCGTCGTTGCAAGGTCTCTTCCGATATCAATAGGGATGAAAAAGGATCGAGCGGCCTGTGGAGAGTGACGGGGGTAATTTGTAGGAAGCTTGGTGGTTTGCCTGTAAAGTCGACGCGTGTGCAATCGTAGCGGGCGGCGAGAATCTGGCCACGGGGTGATGGGTGCAGTGCGGAATAATGTCTGCCTGCAGCACGGTCGAAAAAGGTCAACGTGACGACGTCGGACAGGATGAACTAAGAAGAGGGGGTGTGTGGTGGTCGAAATACTGCCTTTTGCTCGTCTCTCGGGGCATTGTGAGGAGGAGAGCAGGCTCCTACGAATAGCACCTGCAGATATGATTGGTCCGAACCTTCTCCATCAGCAGGCGTCTGTGCGCCTGCCGTTGATTGGTCGCCGTGCAGGCAAGGCCATACGTCGTAGACACCTTTGCCTCAAACATACACACACACGCGCGCACGGCGCGCACGCATTCGCAAAGGGCAAAACCAGAAACAGACCAAGACACACAAGATACACGACGGCAAATGATCGTCCAGTCTATCCCTCCTCTTCTCGAGGCTGTGGCGCAGCACGCCATACAATATACACAAGTGAGGCAAGGCAAGGAGAGAAGAGTTGCTAAGAATTGCTGAGCAAAGGCTGCGGTGTGTCACTCCCACAAAGGGAGCAAATAAAGGGTGTGGCAGGGCCAGGCTGCGGTGTGGCTCGCTGTCTCACTTAAGCATGCCGATGCAGGTCACGACCAATGTGCGGATGGCTCGCGTTGTAGCCCACGTTTACGAAAGAAACAACGAGCATTGGAGAACGTGGTCATTGGCAAGAGCGCAGCTACCGGACGATGGGTGGGAAGGAAATATTAATTTCAGAGAGAACCAGGCGGGGTGCAGACAAACCGCGAAGAGTAAAAGACCAGACAGCGGTGCTCCTGCTCAGTCGCTTGTTGAGGCTCGCGGTAGCTATTATCTCCTTTTTTGAGGCCTAGTTTCGCTCTCCTACAGCAAGACAAGACGCGGTCAATGTCTTGATATCGGAACCCGCCCTCAATTCTCCAGGGTGTGTGCCTGGTTTCTGTAGTTGTGACTCCCACATATCGAGGTATCATCGAAGCTTTGCCATGTCTTTTCTTTCGTTCTGGACTGTCTGTCTGGCCTGCACACCCTCCCCAGGTGGAGTTTGGTCAGAAGACACAGGACACGAACGAGGCCTGGGCGATGGGTCGTTGGAGTGCACTCGCCGTGCTCATATCCAGCCTATCCTATTGTCATCACCTAAGGAAGACACGACGTAAAGTCAAAACAAGGACATCTCGAGCAGTTAACAAGGCGACATGGCGAGAGACATGCAGGACGACAATAAAAGGTATAAATATCTGCCTCGCGCCGCATGCGCGCGCCGACCAATGATCACCATCTCTTGCCCTTTACCATCAAGCACGCCAGCCAAACAGACGCGAAGCCGACCCAAGCACGCATACACAGACACAAACGTCGTACACCACACAGACACTACATACATACGCATACGCAGAGACTGTCGCATCCCACCTCTCCAGCGCCATTTGCTCCTGCCCCTGCGCACAACCAGCACAGGCGGACGCACCGTGTGTTGAACTGTGTACTACAGCCCGCCTGCTTAATTAAGCGGCCACCCTCTTGCCAACATCCGACATCAACCAACCCCCCTACCTATCTGAAGAGTCAGATAATCCAGAATTGGTAACCCGGCCAGACGACCTGCTGTCTGCCAGAATCCTGCAAACGAAAGGAAAGGGAAACCACCAGGGCACAGAGACCAGACGATTGGCTCAGCATCCAGCAAGTGTCCAATAGCCCGCGTCAATACAGCTCGCCTCTCGGACGTCCAGTTTCGGTGTTGCTTGCCCTATTTATTTCCATATTGCCTCTCGTCCCTTTCCTATCTTCCTTCTTCTGTGCCTTCTCCGTCTTTTCTCCCCGCTTCTCTTTCTCTCTTCGTCCTCTCCGCAATAGTAGCCACGCGTGTCAGCTCGCGGATCGCCACTACTGACAGCCGCCCCACTGGCCACGCCCAAAATTAGACCTCCGTATATTGTCTATACAGGGTGTGTGCACTGAAGTTGGAGATCTCACAGACGCAGCCCAGCCCAGTTACAGCCTAGCGTGCTCGCACCCAAAAGCCGCTCAAAGGCTTTCCATCCTTCGCCAGCCTGGGCTCACCATTTGCCATTTCACATCGCCATTTCGCATTTGCCTTTGCCTTTCCAGACCGAGCCTGCCGTTGACTCAGCCATTAACACCCACTAGCCTACGACGGCAACCTAGCGGGTCCAGCCCGGCTTTCCCGCAACCACTGCTCAACTACGACCTATCTGAGGCTCTCCGTTTCTTTGATGGCCTTGCCTCTCTGTGCCTGAGAGCAATTCCAGTGATCCGAACCCCAGAAGAGCACTTGATTTGCGGCAGTACTAAATAGAGCGCACCCGAAACTCAAGGACCTCTGACACCGCCGGAAAGCGGCTGCTCTTTCAGATCCCATTCTGCTGCCGTTCGACCCTGTTGCGTCACACTTGGGTACTGTTACTGTACTTACTGCCTGCTGCTGCGCGCCCCAGCTTGCATTATCAAGCTGTCTGCCTGCCATTTTTTCAAGATTCGACCAGCCAAGCCAGCCAAGCAACGTAAGCCGTTTTCCGTTTCCTTTTATTCCGACTCCGTCCTTTTATTTGTTTCTTCTCTTTCCGGGCATTCTTCTACCTTTCTGTCCTCTGCCTCCTTCCTCCCTGTTCTTGATTCCCTCCCTTGGCTCCTCTCCTTCCTCCATATTGCTGCACTCGTCCCCTGCTCCTTCCTCCGCTTGTCGCCTTAGGGTGACAGCCATATAGTGCGTGCAGCGCAAATGCCCCAAATGGCCCGTTACCTAATGCAGACTAGTCTCCTAACTCGCTTTCCATTTGAAACCCCAAACCTGGCGGTCAACGAGGCCACCGCCCACCTTCCCACGCACAGCGCTCCAAGCAAACTCCCCTCTCTTTCTCCCTTCGTCTCCCCTCCTCCCCCCTGCACTTTCCCCCAATAAGACGAGCAAGAGCGGCCAACCTGGCTTCCTGTGCCGTTTCCCTTTGATTCTTGTTTCTCCGACAAGTCATTTATCTTCGTTCTTACTTTTCACCTCTTCCTTTTCCTCTACCTTTGGCGCACCCTCGACCGATCGCATTCCGTCACCCCTCATCCTCCCTCGTCGCCTCGCTTCCATACAACCCTTGGCTGCTCTCACACGCTTCACTCTTGTCATCTATCAGGCCTAAGTGCGACTATACAGTCTGCCTCGATAGACCGCATTTTCGTCTCTACCTGTAGGAGACTTGGCCCTGTTTTGCGATCCTTGTAAGAGGCACTGGTTGTTCTTGAACTGTGTGACTAACCATCCTCGTAGGAGCGTCTCTTTCCCATACCGCACAGATTTCTCCCAACCCTCCTGCTCCAGCAGTTTCTTCGCGCGCTCAACCGATCTTGGCACTTTGGACGCTCTCCGTCATCATTCACGCCATCGAGAATCGAGAAAGACGACAGTGACAAGTGTACGAAACATTGCAAGTATTAGCACCTTATCATGGCGCAGCACGGCTTCGGCCAGATGGGCGGTGGCAATGGTGCCATTGACCCCAACGACCTCACTGGCGGCTTCGGCCAGTCGTTCCAGAACAACTATGGCTCCAGCCAGAATAACCACTCTACCGGCTTCTCCAGCGGCGCCGCACTCATCTCCGACGACGACCTCTTCGATACGCTTGGCAGTCCTGCCGATGCACAATCCGGCCTGGGAGGCCACGATTTCTCCGGTATGACCGGCGTCGGCCTTGGCGGCGGCTATTCACAAAATATGTTTGCTCAACACGGCCTATCACTCGACCAGGCAAATATCAACGGCTTTTCCAACACACCAGAAGGCGACCCGATACAAAGTCCGTTCGTGAACAGCATGGGCCAGTACCGGTCTATGCAGCACCCCCATGCCTTTGGCTCTCTTCAGTCGCCTGGTGGCTACACCGGCTCTCCGCTGGCCACCTCAAACTTCGCCGGCGACGAGGCCAGCGAGGCTGCCCTTTTGAAGTCCCGCGCCCGCCTCTCTCAATCCATGCCTCGCAAGGCGCCCACCGCACGAAACCCGCTCAACTCCAAGTCTATCGGCACCTCCATTCCTACTACGTCAGTCGACTCCTTCGTAGGGTCCCCACAGCCGATCCGCACAAATGGTTCAAACCACGAGAAGTCCGCGTCAGGCCAGTGGGCACAGACACCCAACAGCCTCTCTTCGTTCCCCGGCTCCGGCTTTTCGTCTCCAATGCAGCCCGGCGGCCTCCACAGCGCCCAAATCAATGAACTTCTCCTCAAAGGTGGCACATCTATGCCCGCAAAACTCGGCGCCCCAATCAACACAACGCAGGAAGCCAAGCGGAAGAGACGTCGGGAGTCGCACAACCTCGTCGAACGACGCCGCCGTGACAACATCAATGAGCGTATCCAAGACCTCAGCAAGCTTGTGCCCAGCCACCGGTTAGAGGATGAAAAAATCAAGAAGCTCATCTCCACAGGTACACCACTGTCACCGACTTTGACGGGGTTGGCGAGCCCCTCACAGGCCACATCGGGCCTGGCCGGCCCCGGAGCACGGCGGGCGGCTGGCACGAGTGCTGGCAACATTACCACCGGCCTGCCGCTTGAGGAGAAGGACAAAGGTCCCAACAAGGGCGATATTCTCAACGGTGCTGTTAGCTGGTGCCGCGACTTGATGTGGATGTTGGACACATACGTCTCGCGTCAGGAGGAGCTCATTGAGTACTTCAATGACCGTGGCGAACCGATGCCCTTCACCATTACTGACGACGAACGCCGGCTGACCTCGGAGCTGATGATTGCCATGCGCAACCCCGACGGTGCCGAAGGCGAGAAGAAGCACTTCACTTACTCGCGGACGGACGGGTCCGGTCTGCGCGTACCCGACTACACGGACTACAAGGGCGACCCGCTAAACGGCTCCGGTCAAATCGATACACTCTCGCTGCTGACGGGCAATGGCGGCACCGGTGTTATCGCCACGCAAGATCTAGAGCAAGGCGATTTCTGGGGCGACGATGACGACGGGGGCGATATGGAACTGAAGGAAGAAGACGAGTTCATGGATCTCTCATAAACTCGGCTGTCCTGAGGGACCTTCTCTTCCCTCTTTTCATCCGTCTCCGCCAACGTCGTCTAATTCAAGCCACCGATACGTTTACCCTTTGGTTCACTGTCACCTTCAATTCCACCCCTGAACTTTCCTACTGCCTGGATTTTGTTTTGGGTGCACATGTTAGGCATCAACTTCTCTTACAACCTTATCCTCGCACACTACTTACTTTCTTCTCTTCGCTTTTATGCACCGGTATTGGGACCGTTCACTTCTTATTTTACTTTATTTTCATTTTTTTTTTTCGGTCCGCCCATTCTTACTGCTTTCTGCTTTTGTTCAGGTCTGCTCATTTGACGTCGCTATATAATTGTTGGCTCTTATTTTGCTTTTTTCATCTGTGCTCTCGTTGAGTCGACTTATTTTTCGGGCCTTTCCAGTTGTTCGCGTTGTCTCGGTGTTCATTTTCTGTACTTCGATGTGGGTCCTTGTTATCAGCTTTGCTTTGATTTTATCTTTGACTGCTTTACTACGGATGGATGGTTGGCCGTACGGAGTTTATCATGTTCTTTAGATACACCCCATACTCTATGTCTGTTGTTGCGTCCCATGGTACGCTGTTGTTCGAAGGGGGCTTGCACTTAGACACCGGTTTATATTGACTGAATACTTATACATTGACTTTGTCCCACACACTGGTTCGCATAAATGTATGAAGTGTTGCAAAATATGGATATTTGCACCTTAAACAAAATCGGGACGTGATGATTTATTCAGACGAATTGGTCTTCGCAAGCATAACAATCAACAGATTACATAACTGTACATAACCAAGGAACAGAAAGCCTTTCACCAGTGCCGTACACAAAGTAGGTACTCGCTCATAGACGACAACAGATTCCAGACATCCTTCCTCTTCATATCTTCGAGTAGCGCAATACGCTCCAGCGCCGAATGGCCGTTGAGGTGTTTCCAAAAGACGGGCCACATCTCGGCGACACGCTCGTTCCACGCCGTTGTCTCGTCCACCGGGCCGTTGCCGCTCGTGGGATAGCGAATCCGCGGGCCTTCGTGTTGTGCCGCCACGTCTTTCTTGCTTGCAGGTGGGGGTGTGGCACGGCACGCACGCAGGTTGCGCTCAATGGCGCTCAGGAACAGACTCTCTTTGCCCGTCGGCTTGCTCGCATCCATAATTACGTATGGCTGGATGCCTGCGAGATGCGGTGCATTGTTGATTGACGGGTGGCTTGTCCGCTTGGGCACTGGCTTGCGCGCGTGGACCGTGGCCCGCTCAGCCAGGCTATGCGCCGCCTTTTCGGCCATGCGCTGGCGCCGCGCTCGCTCGGCGGCATGCTCGGCAGCTGACTTCCCACCATGCTTAGCACGGTCGCGGTCGTGGCGCGCCGAGGACGGCATCGACGACATCGTGCCAGACATTTCCGACAAGCCGCCAATCTCGCCAACGTCGCCCTCTTCGCCGTCGTCCGAATCGTCTCCTGCGTAGTGTTGTTGCCTCCGGTGTTCCTTCTCCTGGTAAAGATTGCTACTGCTCAGACCACGGGACAAGGATGTGCGGGAGGATTGAATATTGCCCCTGCCACCGTCTCTCATCTTTTGCTGCTGCTTTTGCTTGATGCGTGCGAGGTCCTCGGCCTCGAGGTTGTACTCGACCTCATATTGGATTTCGGGCCAGACAACGACGTAGGCGAATGTGCACAACTGGCAGACCCAGCCGCCGCGAATCAGCCATGCCAAGATCCGCAAATACGCCGGACGCAGGCTCTTTGTAGGGCAAAATGATTTATACGGTCGAGGGGCCGACGATAGGCTGGCAAGAAGATCCGGTAAAGGCGGTGCAAAGGGAAATGTCTCTGCAAAAAGCGCAGAGGCTCGGGCTAAATGGTCAATGTCGCAGTTTGGTGACAGGATATACACGTCCCTAGCATGTATTGGCGGCACGGCCATCGCCCTTCGCCAGTATATGAAGTGCTGTGCATAGGCGCGTATTTGGTGGATCGTGAGTATTGTGTCCGGGAGCTGAGAAACTTGATAGAACCTACAAGGTATTAGTGGTTGAGACGCAAATGCGGGATCCGCGAAGAGAGTCAGAGCACTTACGATAGAGTCGGCTTCGAAGCCTTGACAAGTTCGATCATAGTCGCAGCAGCCTTATCTCCGCGGGCTTCGAGCTCCGCGATAATCTTTGTCTCGTCGTCATCCGTGAGAAGCAGGGCGAAGCACTTGTCAAAGGCTGGCACGCCGTCCAGCGTTTCGTGCCGCGAGACATTGTTGGCTGTGGTGAGCCAGAGATTTTTTAAGGAATCGCCTGCCTGGGGCTGTATATCGCTAGCGAAGAATGGCATCGGAATCTGGATAGAATGCCCGACGGATCCCTTGCTCAGGTTGAGTTCCAGAACGGCAATCCGGTTGCGGGAGATCGCCTCGTAGGTGTCCCTCATGGACGCCGCCAGCGATGATACTGCCAGAATGTCTTTCCACAAAACACTCATCTTTACTCCTACACGAGGTATTAGCATATTGAATCCGGGGTCGATAGATAGTAAGGGGTGGACGTCGCGTACTGTCTTCCCGTGCGTGGTCTTTGAGCTGTATGATTTTCTTGCACTCTTGCCAGATAAAGTCTCCGCTCTCCTGGCAATACTTGTACACTTTGTTGACCTCCCGAACGACATGCGTATACATGGTGTCCAGCAACTCGTTCGCTTCGTGACGCTTGGGGCTCATGATGAATACCAAGGTGAACATGGTCATCGAACTGACTTTCTCTTCCTTGTCTTTGCCCTGCGTCGCTGGGGCAGCACCGCCGGCGGACGTCTCGCCAGTACGCCCAGTCGAGGCTCCGCGCGTCGTTGCCGCCTTGTCCTTGGCTTTGCCGTTGTTCTTATCCGTTGCGTTTCGCCGGCGCGCCCACACGCCGTTGCTTGGGACGTGCACCGGGTACGAGATGTACGTCACCGAGTCAAGAGACATCTGGAAGCGCTTTTTGTGGAATGCACGCGGTGGCGTCAAGATGCCCTCCAGGGCCTTGGTCGGCAGCCCGACAACATACTCCCATGGCACAAACTGCGTGCCATTGTCGGCCACGAGGTGGTCGTCATGGTTCCAGCGCGCCAGCTCACTCGGGTTGGGCATAAAGTCCCGGGACCCACCGAGTGCCGCTCTCGCGTGTGCGGCAGTCGACTCAACAAAAATGTCATCATCGTCGACCTCCTCATTGCTGAGTTCCTTGCGGTGCTGTGAGTCTTGCGGTGGGGTGATGATGCTGGGGTAGTGAAAGACGAAGCGCGGCCCTTCACGATTCCGATTGATTACGAGCGCCACGCCCATAAAGCTGGACGTGTCTGGTAGAGCCATTGACTGCGCCATAGTCGGTCACTGCATCCTCGGCTGCGCGCCCGTCTTTCCCGCAATGGTGATTGTTTGTCGTTAGAGGGCGAGATGCAGTGAATGGGAGAGCTCTGATGATACGCCTGTAGTATGTCGTATTACAGGGCTGCTGTTTTAGTGACCTTGCTATCAGAGAGTGGCAGCTATTTATGTGACTAAGCATATCTATCCCCGACCCACACCTTTTAACAATCTCAAGTGGCATCGTCACTATGGCCCGTAATGTCAATGTCAAAGTAAATGTACGACAATGGACATTACGGTAGACTATCAGTAACAAAGGTCAAAATATGGATGGAGGTGTCTTTTGTTCACTTTCTCATTCTTTTTTTTTCTCCTTTAGAAACGGAGATATAAATTTTCACCAAATAATATAGGAAATTATAACACAATCGCATTAGTCTCATCAAATATGACAACATTTTATGTTAAAGTAGCTGGATAAAACACTTGTCAATCGAATGACAACGCCCCAACCGTCTAATAATCAGGCCCTTTGGAAACAAACAAAGCTAAGAAACTATGTGTTTGCGTTGGAAACAAAAATCAGCCACCATTTCGAACCAACTTTCTCCAACGTCAGGCGTCATCCGTCACGCCCGAATACCGCAGCGACAGGGCATCAAGGAAGTGTGAATGGCGGATGCCAACGGGACGACATTCGGCAAAGGTCTTGATTGCCTGCGACAGCTCGTAGTTACAGCGGTCCACCAGGTGGCAGACGATAAAGTAGCCCGTGCGGTTGAAGCCGTAATGGCAGTGCACGCCAATCAGGTATCCCGTCTCAGCATCAGATGCGGCAGTTTCTTCCGATGCCGACGTTGACCGCTCCGCAAGCGCCTGTTTCTTTTTCTTCCTCTGCTTTGCCTGTAGCTTTTCTACAAGTGCGTGGAAGACTTCGACCTCGGCGTCGGTCGGAGGGATCTTGGACACGGTGGGGAATTTGTGGTAATGGATGCCTCCCGCTTCGAGTTCGCGGGGGTCATAGACCGGGTTGTCATGGGAGATGTCAATGACATCCTTGACAACGTTGGCCCACCGCTTGACAAAGACCCTGGGGCTGTGGACCTCGTCGACCTGCCGCAGGGTCTTCATGGCACGAAATATACCAGCGATCGGTTTCGAGACAGGCTCAACCTTGCTCCACTTCTCCAGGTTCTTCACGTCCCACTTACCCTCGCGTGACAGGAAGCGCAGTTGCCAGCCGCGGTCCAGGCGCCCTGTCACATGGCGTGCGAGGAAGTTGGCGACGATACCGGATACGACACCGATGGTGGCCGGTGTGTAGATCATGGCATGACCTGCTGGTGCCGGCAGGACGTGCGACTCGACAAATTTGGGCGGGTGACGCCGGAGAACGGGGATATCAATCTTATCAGCAGCGCCGCGGGGGGTCGTCGGCGTCTCATCGTCATCAGGCGTTGATGTTGCTGGGCGGGGCAAAAAGTCCTCATCGGCAATGTCGTCGATATCGGGTGGTTTGACTGCCGAGGCGTCGCCATTTACTGCTCCTGCAGTCGCGGGAACAGCTGGTAAGGTGGCTGCAGCGGTCGAAGGGACCGTTGTTGGGGTATCGATATCGGCATCTGCAGCAGACGCTGCCGGTATGACGGATGATGCATGCAAAAATGAACACACTTTCTTTGCTTCCGCCGGAGGTGTGATGTGGTCGCCATCGCCAGCGATTAGGCAGACCGGCAGCTGAAGCGATTCCCACACAGCCTTTCCGGAGAGGCCGCTCACTTGCGCACCCGCTGCATCAAATGCTGGCAAACTGCCCCACGCCATGCGGCGCCAAACGGCCGATTTGCTTTGCCAGTTGAACTTGGCCTGCAGGGTCTTCGACTCTTCGTCGGCATCGCGGCCGACAAACCGGCGGACACTGGCGCTATTCGGGCCGCCGCGGGCGTCCCAGGCACGCCACATGTCGAAAATGGACGTAGGGATCCATAACAGCGTCTTGAAGATTGCAATCTTCGTGCGGTCGTCCAGACCAGCGGGCGGGCAGATGGCGACCAAGCCCGTGCATGGCGACTCTTTGGGGGACTGCCGGCTGGCTAGCAGGGCAGCGAGGCTGCATCCCATACTGTGGCCGATCAGGACGACACTCTGCTCGGGTCGGCGGTACTGGGCAATGACCACCTCAAGTATATCGACCAGCGCTTCGAACGAGTAGGCGGCCCAGTCCTTGGGCGCAAAGGTGGAGCGTCCGCAACCCGGCATATCGACGGCCAGGCAAGAAGCGCAGTTGGACATGCGGGTCAGGAGACCGTCGAATTGCGCCACCGAGCCGCCAAGGCCGTGGACGAAGACGAGGAGCGGCAGGGGCGCCGGGTCGACCGGCATCTGGTCTTCCTGCTCATGGCGTCGGAAAAAGACACGAACAGAGGGGTAGATGTAGCGGGCCGTCTCGACCTTGATCAACGACGAGTGCTTCTTCAGCAGCGGCGGGTCCGTGGTGTGTGCATCTAGACAGAGGGGCATTAGATATACAGAGCCCAGCCCCAGACTGTAAGGGGGCGGACGAATTGACAAACCGTAGATAGAGGCCATGGCCGAAGGAGCTGGGGCCTTCACAGGGCTGCGACCAGTGTAGACTGGCGCGGCCTTTCAGTGCGCGCACTCTGGGATGCTTAAAGTCGCTCTCGCAGACTCGGTCGCCGGTCGTAACGTCGGCCCTGATTCCTGCCAGTTTTCTCGTGTCCCTGGGGTTCCTTTGGTAGCAATCGCAGAAATGCCGCGTATGGCTCGACAGCAATGGCGAAATAAGAATGTAAAGGAGCAGAGACAATCAAAAGATAAGTCAAACCAAACGTGGGTGGATGTGCTTTGTGTGACTCCAAGTTGGAGCTTCGTTCTCTCAGCCGCCCACACTGTTTGGTAGCCACTCAGAGCAGTGACATCACACACATGTGTCGGGCGGGTTGGCTTCCCAGACTCTGTCTGGCTCCTAGCGGGTCGCGCTTTCCGTTTGATGGGTGGCAGTGGGCTATGCGATAACCAAGAATTGCGGCAGAGGCCAATTGTGTGCTTTGCGGCTTTCCTTTTTGTTGTTCCTGTTTGTGTTGCGCAAGACGGAGGTTTCCTTACTTAAAATGTCGTGCTTTAATTTTTTTTAACCTTCAGGCTTTACGTATTAGGAAATAGTGGCGTTTCTCTGACTGCGGCTACGGGCGGAATAATCGCACGCACGACAGGCGCTACTACTACAGGTATCTTAACAAGTGCCTGCACCAGGAACAGGCACCAGCGAATACACCTGACCACATCGACTCGATGTTCGAAGAACAGCTTGGTGAATGGCGACGCAATCCACTAAACCAGTCGCAGTTTACGTGTTTTGTAACAGGTATTATATATGGCAAGCCGTAAATGCCCATTGCTCTATAACTGTGGCGATTGCATATGCGACTGCCGAGGCGAAAGGCTTTCCAAGACACAGAGGGCGCACAATCATTGGCACAGGACGTGTTGGATGGCATTTACTTTCATTGTCCTTGTTCACTGTCAATTAACTGGTTATAATCACAAAAGAGATTGTCCACAAGAGTGGTCGGTCGAGCTACATGGTAGCTCACGCCATGCTTTTCTTATGCATGCCCGGATTCTTTCCTTCTTACTCGTTCTTCCATCCGGCGGGTATCAAGGCTGCGGCGACGTCGTTTACGCCGCGCTCTGTAGCCAGCATATTGAACTGCGATGCCGCATTGCGAGTGTCCAGGACCTCGACACGCATGCCGAGGGACGTGATGTGTCGTTTCGTGTCGGGACTCAACGGACGTATCTCCGGTCCCAGACCAAGAATCAGCAGATCTGCAAGGCACGCTGGTTAGATTGCTTATCTCGGAGTCGAAATTCTGCTTCGAGCCTTGTTCGGACGGAAAGCGGGTTCGTACCTGGTCGTGGCCACACCAGTCCCAGCAGGTTGAAGGCGCTGGTGTCTACCTCCCATTGCCCCTTCGGGTTGACCATGCTCTTTCTGTCCCCCCATGGCCGCCACGAAAACGCCTCGCCACCCACGAGAAGTACTCCGCTGCCGTCCATGGTCTGGAGACCGCTGTTTAGCTTGAACCCATTCGAATAGCAAATGTCGACCGACGTAGACGGCACCGGCGTGTTGCCCAGTATATCGAGGCTGCTAAAGTCGGTGGCGTCACGCGGTGCGGATGGTGGATTGGTGCTATTGTTTTCTCGCGGTGAAGATGCTTGTCTTCTTGCTGACGAAGAACTGTGGAAAGGTGTGCAGGGCCAGATTACTGTCGCCCGGGGCAGGTGAAAGAAGGCTGTTGCTCGTGGTCGTGGTGATTTTGTTGTTGTCGAGGTAGAGAGAGAGCTCTGAAACGGACGGCCAAGACGGATACTAGCGCGGAGCGCGCGCGGACAACAATTCATGGCTTCGTAGGACTGGTTCGTAGGGAGCGCGTATGAAAGGAGGGCTGTGATTGTTGTGCGTGTCGCTGATTACGATGAGGGCGATGGACAGTTGAAGCCTGGCTTGTCGGCTGACGTATTAAAGTGGGTGAAAATCCAGCCGATATTGGCACGTCCGGACTTTACCATCAGACATCCTAGCAACAACTCTCACACTAGTACTGACGCAGAAATACTTCCACCACCAACATATCAATTGAGATATCGGCATTAGGGCAATTGTTTTGCGATGGTTTGCACATTTCAAGACGTATACCGTCAGTCCAAGACAGGTAGACAGCCATAATTCCACGATACAAAAGGGCATGAAGGAGGCAAACAGAGACATGCCGCCGCAGAAGTGGTTTTGTGTAATTTTTGTCCTTTTTTTGAGTTATCAGAAATAGAATAAAGGTGTACAGCTGTCGAAGAGCCGGTAGTCTGCCGCAAAAACAGAGCAGTCCGCATCCGTCCTGCCCAACACCATCCTCGTAAATGAAACACCGTGAATAAACCATGAGTTTGCCCGCTTCTCCACTCGGTCGGCACGGCGTTTTTGGAGCCAGCCGTGAGGTCATCCCGTTCCTCCCCAAGCGCTCTTTCCCCTCCTTAAACTTTTTGTGCAAAAACAAAAGAGAGTCGGCATAACGCTTATTTCTTCTTCTCGGACGCGCTCTGCTCCTTGAGCACCTTCTTCACGATCTTCTGCTCCTCAATCAGGAACGCGCGGACGACACGGTCCTGCACGCAGTTGGCGCATCTTGAGCCACCGTACGCGCGCTGGACGGTCTTCTTGGGCTTCGAGATCTGGGCGTACTGGCGAGGACGCAGTGCGGGGATCTATATCCGTGGAGGAAAACGACGGTCAGCATACAGTCAACACGGCGGTCCAAAATAGCGAAATGGACACTGAGTCATCGGCCCGAGCGAAGAGTTGGATGCGGCGCGAGACAATGAGACAAGAACGGGGCTGGTTGTTCGCATAGAGAAAATTGTTCGTGTCCGTCGTTCGTCCAAGGGTACAAGAGATCGATTCGTTGTGTGCCTTTTCATCCATTCCCATTCTCGCTCGGGCCACAACTCGTTCCATTTCTGTCTTTTGCCGGTAAGTCGTCGTGGTTTACTTACACCAGGCAGCTTGATGCCGCAGTCACCGCACTTCGGGGCAGTGCCGCGCTTCTTGATGTGGAGGACCCGGAGCTCGCCGCCGGGGGTCTTGACGACACGCGTCAGGTTCGACGACGTGTTGTACCTATTACCATGCCACCAATGTCAGTTGATGCTTGCTCCTCCAAACTGAGTTCGTCGTGTTTATGTATTCTTTCTCCGTTGGCTGGGTGAGATCGGGGACGGATGCCAGGGGAAATGGGCGAAAATCGATTCATTCGAACAAGGCTTGGCTGCTTCGTTACATACCCGTTGTGGCGACGGTAGACAACTCTGTTGTTGGCCATTGTTGCTGTTCGATGTGCTTGGTGATGTGCGATAGAGGGATCGTGAGGAAAACGAAAACTTTCGGGGCTATGAATTTGAGGGAAGGATGAAAAAAACCTAGGAAAATATTTTTGGTGCGTTTTCCAAAGGGGGGCAGCGTCACATGACCGACCCCAATAGGAAAAAAGAAGACCAGCCGGAGACTAAACCGTGTGGCTTAATTGTGGCTCAGATATTGTGGTCACATGACATTCACTTGTCACTCGTCGTTGCATTCCGCATGCGACCCACCGCTCTCTACAACGACCACTGAACAGAGATCGAGAAATGTCATCATTTGCAACGAGAGCTTCCATGAACTGTTACGAACCCAATACTCCCTATACTCCGTGCCACTGTGTAGAATAAACTCCATGATAAAAACACCGCTAGCCAAAACCTTGTATTTGCGACCCAAGTAACCACCATTCAGAGAGTAGCCCAGTCCGGCTCCTCTCGAGCTTTCCACGGCTTGATATTCTTTCCATTGCGTCTGCGGCTCAAGGTAGCATGGTCAACAACCTTGCGGAACTCCTCGTTGGTGATGTACTCTTTAAAGCCCTTAACTTCTTGCGCTCCTCCCAACAGCGACGCGTGGCTTTTGGCATGTAGAATCTCGGCTGTTGCAGGAATCAGAAAATGTGTCAGCAGGTCGAGCGCTCGGGGCTAGGGACAGTCGTCCTTGTGGATTAATTAAGCCCCAATCCTGCATATGTAGATACAACTTACGTGATGCAGTCGACTCAGTTGTCAACGGTTGGACCATTCTAGGTATCGTACTCCGGAGGCTCCGTAACTTTGGGTGGACATGTGTTAACCTGCTGAACGCACTCTAGCCCCTCCTCTGCATCAAAAGAAAACTTGTCGCTGACGTTGACAGCTCCTCAGGGCAACATACTTTGAGATGAGCCTCTTTGAGTTTTTGGAGAGCGGCTTCAAGCTGCGCCTCGTTCCACTCCTCGAAATTCACGTCTTGTGCGGGAGGTCGCGGGCCTCCTTTACCCGTAGGCCTGTTTGCCGACATGCTCGATTGATATGTGCAGTCGAGGGTTGGGCCACAGCTGTTCGCAGAATCGATGGTCGAGATGAAGCGCGCCGAATTCCTGGCAACCGTGAACGCCCCACAATAAGCAGGCCAAAAGATCGCACTGTGGCTTATACATGTCACGTGATAAATCAATTCCGCCAGTGTCGTTTTCGACGAAGGTACAAAATAGACCGTATATCTTCATCGGGCACACTGTCCAGCCTCCCGCATTTGCACTGCACACCAAACGCCTCGACTCCATCGAACCATCATCGCGCGCGTCAAACTGCATCACTGAGATCGCTTTGTTACTTTTGTTACTTTCAAAACAGTGTCCATATTTCATTGGGTCTTGCCTCGATCAAGTCTGTCACAGCGTGTGTCGAACACAAGGCGTGCTTTTCGCCTCTCCCTTTTATTGGACATTCTTTCAACCTGTTCCTCCCTCTGTCATCGCCGCTGCTATCGTCACGCCCTGACCGTATCATACACACGGTGATCCAACTTCCGACCTTCTTTCACAAACCCCTTTAGAAGTTTCAGTTGTAGCAACGCGGTTGCTGCCCCTGAGCTTCGCTACCGCCTCAACCACGGACAAACCACGGGTATTCTTCCCGGCCGACTTCTCTCCCACAGAGACCTCTGTCATCGACTCCACCGTGGCTTCCGCATCAACACACCCGGGGACCCCCAACACAAACGGGACCAACGCGCCGCAGCCACCCGCGACTGGCCAGCCGTTTCCCGATAGCGAAGGCTTTGAGACCGATACTTCTGCGCTTCTGGCGCAGGGACAGACATTCGCGCTGGCTTCCAACGCCCCCCAGCAGCCTCCGGCGTGGAGCCTGGGGTCCACCGCGCCCGGTACGACACCGATCCCCCAGAACCAAGGCACCCCGGCGCGTACTAATGGAACGGCGAATGGTGCAATCGCCGCGTCTACACCGATTGGCGCCGTGACTCCCGCCCGCCAATTGATCACTGCCAGCACACCTGCGACCTCGCCGGCCACCACGACTCTGGTCGCGCCTCCCGAAGGCATCTACCGCTCGTTTGATGATCTTTTAACTGCCGTCCAGCGCGTCGCAAAGGACAACGGTTACGGCATCGTCAAACTTCGCGCCTCCAACTACCGCGATGCCAAACCGACGCGCTACGACCTCGTGTGCGACCGTGGCGGTGTCAAGTACAACAGCACTGCGAAAAAGCGCAACCCATCCACGCGCAAGGTCGATTGCCCCTTCCGTGCCAAGGCTGTTTGTGAGGTGTCGCTGGCCAACCAGTGGCGCTTTGTCGTCCAGGAGTCCCGTCACAACCACGAGGCTCGCGTACCGGCCGCCCCTCCAGGTCAAGAGGCGACGCCGATTGCGCAGAATCTGCGCAGTTTTACGAACAAGCTCGACCGCATTAGCCATGATGTCAGCCACGGCTTCCAGGAGATGAACAGCCGCCTTGATAATTTTATGGAGTCGATCGAGAAGCGCCTCGAAGCCGTGGAGCAGCGTCTAAATAACAATCTGGTCATGGCAAACGCCATGCCACCAAACTTGGCCAATGGCCTGGGAGGCGGCATGCCAGGCCAGCAAGCTGTCCTGGACAGTCGCTTGAACAATGTCGAAGCAAGACTCAACGCTATGGAGACGCGAGGTTTGGACATGCCGCTGGATGACGTCGACTCTCGAATGTTGTCAACAGGCGTCATGTAGCAACGTGATCAAAGCAACAATTCTACACCTTCCCCAACTGCAAGTCCTCTTGTCAGGACAATGCATCCACATTTGGCTTAATAGCCAAGGCCGTCGACAACATTCTTACCCTTCACTCTCGTATTTGGGTTGTGGTTTTCTTCGAGGTTTTGTTGTATACATCCGTCTTTGCTCTCTTTTCCGACCCTTTCTATGTCTTTCCCCAGATACTTCATTCGTCCCTTATTTGTTGCTCATTTCGTTTTACCACTATCTGTTGGTGGGTGAGCAACGGTTTGCGCACGACATTGGCTCACGTCAGTCCGGCTCTATCGTTCCTTTGTTCACGGTCTATAAAATAATTAGGGACGAGAGTTTCGATTACTCCCTGTGACAAGAAGGTATACGGTCAGTGCCGGCTTGCCTTTTGTATTTTTTTGTCTGTATTCACGTATCACCCCTTTGTACTTTATCCTGCTGGCCTTGTCATATATTTGTTTCGGTTTCCTAGTTTTGTGGCATTCACTTTCTTTGCTTTCGTTCTCATTTTGTTGCTTTGGGTGTTTTCTGTCTTCGAGTCGGACATCTTCACAATATTGGGTTGGGTGGTTATATTGTCAGGATACCCTACACAACAATGTTCGATGAAGTGTAGTTTATGCGGCGCAGGGTCAGGAATTGCGTTTTGTTTTTTACTTTCGGGACTTGAAATGTAGCGTCCTGATGTTTTATAATATCCGGTCGACTATGTTCCTGTGTGTATGTCTCAAAGGTCTACCCTTTTTTCAGTCTCTTTTCAAAATACTTCAAAACAAAATATGGAATTTGTACAACGCAATACGAACTATTACTGATATGCATGACCAGTTATATGATTTCCGGTGTATTTCGGACCATAATTTATTAGCATGCTTTCTTTACCTACGTGTTGAAAATTAATTTCACGTCTCAATCGCCCTGACTGCTGTGTTTTATAGAGTATAACAGTTCCGTCACTCATTATGCTCAAGTGGGTAGCAGCAAAGTGCCAAAGGCAATGATCAATGCTGCTAAATCAGACAACGATGTAGATCTCGGCAACGCGCGGACAAATCTATTTTTATCAGCCCAAGGAAGGTAACCGGAATTGACACTAGTAATGCAGGTCAGCACCTTGTACATCTTAACAGGGTCGCAATGCCCATGAGCACAATTATTGTTTTCGTTCTTATGTATTTAAAATATGTTGGAAATAGGCGTTGAAATACTTCGTAAGGTATGGAAACCCTACCAAATCTAAATGGCAAGAAAATACATAGTGCAGGTGAGAATATTAAACCAAAAGACTCAAGCTTATTAACAGGCAACAGAAAGTGATGGCATGGGGCGAATGTGTAGGGTAGAATAAGGTGTGACGAAGTCAACAAGCTTTATGTAATAAGCTCGTGAGATAGACAGAAATGGACGCTTGTAGAGTGGTTATTATGTACACAGCCCAGGTGCTGAAAGTGTGCAATAAGGACATCATGAAAGAAGGCACGAAAACCAAAGCCAGGTAGCGGCAAAATTGGACATGGAAAGAAATCAAAACTGCCGTAAAATAAACCAGGGAGACAGAGCAGTTCGTCCAGAAAAGCTAGCCTATCACGGGGTTTGAAGGGGTATAAAGGTCTCCTAAAGCTGCCAAAGGAGCATGTGTGTAAATGTGTACATTCTACATCTCTTGAATCCAGATCTGTGAGATGGGTAATTAGCATGCGACTGTGAGTAGGAAACGACACAAAATAAGACAAAACTCACCTCCATCTTTCCGATATCCAGTCTCTGCTTGCGTGCATTTGACTTGGCGGTCATCACAATCATTTCGAGGTCGTCCTGGTCGCCCATGGTGACCATGTCTCCGTCAGGGCCGTCATCATCGCGAACCTTGATCTTAAACCGACGGCGAATGCCAAACTTCTCGCGGATACGGTCCACGAGATCGGGAAACTCAATGGCAGCGCCGATCATGATGTACCGAACGTCATCAGCATGGACCTTAACCCGAATCTTCCGGATTTCTGGTCTTCTAGACTGGCCGCGAGAGCTTCCGGACATGGAATTTGTACCAGGGCGGCGGCTTGAGACCATCTCGAAGTCGCCCTCGTCGAACGAGCCGTCATCGTAGTCGCTGCCACCTTCGTCCTCTTCTTCGATATACCTTTGCTGGGGCCGTCTGCCTGAGTTTTGCGAGCGGCTGCCTCTGTCGTTTCCCCCACCACCTTGGTACATGTCGTAGAGCTCGTCTGGGTACGCGTCCTCCTCGTCGACTTGTTGCCGTCGCGACTGCGGTGGACCGCGCTGTGAGAAACTCCGCGACGGCGCTGTTGAGTTGGAGCGCTGGACTCTCGGGCGGCCGTCTTGTGGCGAACCCGCCTTCTCGTAGCGATCGTTAGGGCGCGTTCGATCGATGTTAAGCTTCGCTGGCATCGGCTTCGGGCCGTTGCGAACGGACGCGCCTCTGCTGATGCCACCCTGCTTGTCGTTCTCGGGTGGTGGTGTAGGTGGAAAGACGTTGCGGCCAACGGGAGGTTCTGACTGTAGCCTCCGGCTCTGGATATCGGCTTTGACGAGGTTGGTAGCGGCAAACGAGATGTTGTCTGCCGGGCGGTCATCTTTGACGTCGACCATGCCGGCCTAGAAATTTTAAAAGCGGTCAACAAGTGCCCCCACATGTATCAAGATGCGGATGCAGCGTGAAATAAGTGAACCTACATTTTTGATTTCCGAGCCAGCGAATCCGGTGAAGGCGTTGGCGCGATCAGAGGCTGCGACTAGACGAGCCTTGCCGAGATAGTCTTTCGTCTTCAAGTTACGGACCTTGGCCTCGTTTGGCCGGTAAACCACGCCGACGGGAATTGAGAAGACAGTGTAGCCCTGTCCGAAAATTAGCCTTCAGGTATGTAAGGGGATCACGGGTTTAACAGAGAGGAACAAACCTCGGCTTCTTCGCGAATAGCCTCGTCGATGACATTGTGGTCTTCGACGACCTTCTCCTTTACGGCGTACGACAGATCCTGCATACCGGCATCTTTCTGCTGCAGGTAGATGTAGCACAGGCCGCGGTTGAACAGAACTTCGCATGAGTACAGTTTGAACAAAAGGCCGAGCTGTGCGTAGTCGATCATAGTATTGCCCCGCAGATAGAGGAGTGTATCGTTGAAGTTGGCCAGGGCTTCTTCGAAGTCACCAAGCAGAAAATTCGACACGCCCTGCTGGAAATAAGAAACCGCGAGATACTGGTCTAGACGAACAGCGCGCTGGTAGCACTCGACCTGCCAACAGGAGCAAGGAGGGTTAGTATTGTGTCGGACCGGAAGATCAATGTAAACAACTCCCGGAGACGAAAGGGACTAAGGAGTCAGGACGGTCTTACAGCTTTCTCGTGCTCACCAAGCGTGGCATGGATAACGCCCATGTTGAAGAGGATTTTGGAAGTGTCAGAGACTTTCTCAAACTCCTTGAGGGCCTCGTCGAACTCATTGTTGTCGTAGTTGCTCAGCGCGGCCACCCACGTTTCGATTTCCTACACGGCGCAAAGAGCGCCAGGTCAGTACCTTGGACACATGGCGAACAGTGCCTGCTCTGTGAATGTTGGAGGACAAGTATACCTGTTTGAGAGACATGGCTGCTAAATGTCGTGTTGCTGACAACCGAACACCGTCTGAGAATTGAGAAGCGGTGAGGGCGAGTCAAGCAGTTCAGTCAACGTAAGGCTGTTGCGAGAGGCTTGGATGAGATTCCAACTCTCTTCGAAAACAGCTACGGGGCAAAGGAAGGCGAAGAGGTGACAGGGCGGATATATGGATCAAGGAACCAAAATAAAGAGAACCACACAGGGAGAAAACGGCGATGCTATTTGCGGGAAAATGGTCAAACAAGTGAGCCCAGCCCCGAGAATAGAAAATGTGCTAGCGAGCTGCTAGACGTTGTATCGTGGGCTTTTGGACTTTTCTTTGGGAGTCGTCGGGCGCTTGCGCCAAGGTCAAGAAAGGAAAGGCTTCCCCCTCCTTTGCGGTCTGTCCTGCACGAATGCTGAGAATGCACATGCAGGTCCCACACCTTCTCCGATGGGAATATTTTTGGTGATGGTGATAGTGACTGGTGACTGTGTGCTGTGTCCGGTTTGTGCTGTCTTCTTAAAGAGCTTAAACGAGACACAAGTGCGGTCTGCGGAAAGACTGCCTCGCGCTGCGAGTCGAGTCGTAAGGGTGGTGCTAAGAGCTGGGAACGAGGGACGAAAGAAAGTTTGTTGCTGTTTACTGCGGGCGGGATGTAACTATTTGAATGTTGATTGTCGGTGGTGGTGTTGTAATTGGAAAGAGACAAAGACACGATCCGAAGGGGAACAAAGAAAATAAGAAAGACACCAGAGGAACAGAAAGAAGACAGAAGAGGCAGGGGCGGTAGGAAAAAGTGAACGAGGAAAGAGAAAAGGTAAGAAGGAACGGGACAAAAGCAAGCAGAGGCACGGGAAAGGATTGGGACGTTTCGTCGGTCGAATGTTTGAGAAGCGGAAGGGGCGTGTGGGCTGGTTCGCTGGGATATGGGCAGGCAATGAACAGGGGACGGTATGCATGCTGTAACGCAGCTGGTAAATCGAAGAGGCAAAAGGCCCGGCCATGCCTGACAGAGAGCGTCCGTTCAGAGTATCACGTCGTACTTTCGTCTATCGTGTGTGGTGCACCTCCGCTTGAGCCCATTGGGATGGGCGAAAGACGGGGCAGGGGCAGGCACGACTCAGGGTGACAGAGCGAGGGGGGAGGAGGTTGGAGGGGAAGGTGCTGGTTGGCTGTACGGAAAGAGCGTGGGTCGCACCTGAGCGTGGCCTGGCCAGGGGGTGGCAGGAACGATCCTGGATATGCGGAATTTGGTTCAGAACATCCTGAACCACTGGGTGACAGAGCACAAAGTTTGCAATCTCCATATATGAAAAGGCTGTGAGCAACACGGCAATTGACCCAAATATGGATGGGTGGCGAGAACAGCATTGGCCAACAATGGATGTGCGAACCATCGAACCTGCATCGAGGCGCCCACACTTTGGGAAAGGATGTGCAGAGTGCCCTGTAGTAACGCCCATTTTGCAAGATCGCGAGACGCAGCATGAAGCCCATCACAATGCAGACTTGCACAACCAGTTCACTGGCAGTTCTGTCTCTAGATCAACTCTACTTGAACTACAGAAACAGGCACCACGGCCGTCTGGTAAGCCAATCAGCCAGCGAACCAGGCGCTGGTACTTACCGTACCATGGCTGATCGAGATGCTCTTGGAATCGAACGACGCAACGAGGCATGACCGGCTCCATCGGATTACCCCATGCTCGAGAACATACTTCTGAGGTGCAGACCGGTGCCATTCGACAGGTCTCTGCTTCTTTCATCCCATTGTGAATATGGCCACGAGATGCTCGAAAATAGGATTGGGAAGGGCCCGGTCTGCGGCCGGGTCAACTTTCATCACATTGGCAACCAGGCGGCTACATGACTGCTGCGATACGTCGTACGTTTGGCGAGAAACAAATTACTGTCTTTGATTGGTATATCTTGGAACAGAAGTACGAAAAGGGACAGGTTGGCAGAGGGCTACCGTGGATGTCGGCACGCGATTCGGCTCGAGTCGAATTTAGCGTGGCTAGTCCACTAGAAATGCTTCCATTCGACACTAAATCACCCTAAAAATACCTCTGTGAGCCATCACATCCCAATGCCGTCCAGCACATCACGCCCAGGCAGTCTCGCTGGTGCGGGTCACCATCACAGACCCCGCTGCCCGATTTGGCATGACGGCAGGCTTGGGCCCCATCAATGCAATGCGAGCATAGCCGGTCACAAGCCATTGCGAATCAGGGCCCGGCCTCCCCTTCTTCACATCATGCACCAAGTGTTCCATGTCGTGGCGGTATACGCTGATTCGCTGACACTCAGTACATGGACCCACTTTGGCCCCATCGCAAACCAGCGGGCGTTTCCAAGGGCGCGTACAGAGTCTCGAGTGGCACAGCATCCATGTCCAATGTCTGGCTGCGAGTCTCTTTCCCAAACGCCAAGAACTCTGATCAATCGTTGCGGGTCTTGGGTTTTGGTCTCCGCCAAGAACACGGCAAAACTTACGACGAACGGAGCGCAGCACACCGTAAGACAGAGCTGGCGACGCGAGACGTTGACAAGGATATGGCTGGGCTAGAATTCGATATGAAAACCCTCGGCACTCTACGTGGGACTCAGTAAGAAATAGAGGGCTACAACGAACTCTTCAGTCGTTGCTTCAGGCTCCATTTGGAAATCCAAATCCAACTGGCTGTTGACAGTCAGAATACGATGTACAATCAGCATATGGTCGACGGTGAGGCTGGACGCATCCCCGGTGAACCGACACCAAAAGAGGCCTTTAGACTTTAACTGTTGGCAAACCTCCTATTGAGTCTTCTTGCCCGTACTTGACTCGAATGTGGCTGTCCGACCTTGCCCGAATGTGAGCCTCACGCGATGTTTGCAAAGGTCTTGGTCGTCATCGTGTCGGCATATTATTCTTCGGGTTTTTTTCTTTTGGAGTTCATGTGATTTTAATTTCGCTTACGCCATCGCAGCATAAAACGCCACTCTACAGCATGCCTTTCTTGACCTCGTCAGTCCGCTCCTGCCAGAGCGTCTTCCCTGTGCACGAGCACACCGTCTTGTCGTTGTCCCATACGCCGGCACTCCTTGCAATGACACCGACAACCGTGTTCTCGTCGTTCTGCAGGGGTGCCGCGCCGGCCTGCGACTCATCACGAGGCGACACAACCAAGGCATGTCCAATCACCTCCCAGACCTGGAACGGGCGGTCCAGGAACACAGAGCCGCGACCGTCGGCGCCGATCTCGACAGTGCCGAGATCGCCCTGCCTTGACACCTGCTTCTCGCCAGTGGCGGCAGCGCTGCCCAACCAAACGGGCCCCGCCGAGAGCACGCCGTGCTTGAGATCGCCAAACTCCCGAATGCTCGCATAGTAGCGGCCAGGAGCTACACCGAGTATTGTGAGGTCAATGACGGTGATGTCGGACGACACCTGGACCATTCGGGCCAGACCCCGGACGTAGCGGTCCTTGTCGTCATTGTCCTCAGCTGCCGCAGGCCCTTGGTTATGGTGGTAATATGTTTCAAGGATACTGACAGCTGCATCTTTAAAGATCAAGTCCGTTAGCATATTTTTGTCTCATCTCTTTATTCCATCCCTTTATTTTTCAGACTCGTGTTTGGAAAAGCTTGGCCTTCTTTTTTGGTCCCTTTTTCTTATCGTCCGACCAGGGGCCACGTATCGCCTTTGTAGACCCCGGGCCCGTGACGTGGCTGTAACGGTGTTCGTACACTCTCCGTTCTGGGATGTTTTACGGGTATGCTCCGTACGGCGATATAGAGAGGCATGGGGAACAGGGTCATACTCACTGTTCGATGTTCCCGAACCCCGGAGAATTGCATCTCGTCCAGTCTCCTGGATGGCCTTGACAATGGCAGACGGGGGTGCTACGGTTTTAAACCCAAGTCAATAATCAAGCATTCGCAAAGACCCCTTTCCACCACGGAAAGTAAGGGGGAAGGAGGTAGAGGAAATGGGAAAAAGGAAAAGAAGAAAGAAATAAAGAATAAAAGAACCGAAAGAGATGAGCCATATTACCTGTCCCTTCGATCGAAACCAGCTGGTCTTTTAGATTACCCTCTACTTTGGAAATCCCAGACACCTTGTACAGGGCGTCGGAAACGTCCTTGACACAGCCATCACAAGAAAGGGGCACTGCGAACAGTGTCTGTTCAGTTGGTCAGTATTGCAGTTTCGGATGTAAACCAGTTGAATCAGAAGCACAAAAAAGGAAACATACCCGGAAAGAGTGTGTCACCGTCATCGTGGGCTTCACGTCTTGATGGGCGTTTTTCGGTATTGCGTCGGTTGTAGGAAGAGATATCCTGTTGCAACAGCCGTGAGGGCAAAGCCAGAGATCGTGCCGACAAAATATTTGTTCCCCGTTTTCATCGACTGGCTAGAGATCTATGCGAGGTGGTAGCAGGGCGTTGTGATGAAAAACGAATCCGGTCCTTGTGGACACAGTGATGGGACGTCGTGAGCAGCTGCTTTGAAATCACTCTTCGATATCGGCCGACTACTGAGCTTGACCTCTATCTGATCAATTACGACAGCACTTGTGCTACGCTAAAACGGACCTCTGTTGTCGGGAAACTGCACTAAATTGCCGTGCTTTCGGGCGAGCACATGGACCCATTTATCACGTGATGGTGCTCGAAACCTAGCGACGTAAATTTTTGGCCTCTGTCGAATGTATGTGATGATCTCAAGACGACGAAGGCTCACGACTCACTACAGTCCCAACCCGCCAAGCGCACAAATCTCGTCCTGTGCGTGCACACTCAGCCGCCGCCATGTCTCAAACACTCGGATTGGTACGTCTACAATATAGTGGGAATTTTGCTGTACACGCACGCGATCAGAGGCGTGATGGGTATCGAAAGGAGCATCCCAGGAACGACAGAAGAGAAATTGCCAGCGCAATTGACGGTCTGAGATTAAAGTCGACTGGTACGGATCCGGGGAGATGCGATATTTGACTCATTGCTAATGCGACGTTTTACCGCAGACGCGCTTAGCCTACTCGCGGACATGGCACCAGATCTCGGCATCCGCTCCCCACGCTGAGCTCTCGACCATCAAGTCGCCGGAATCAGCAATTACACCGCCCTCTCTGGGCCGCCTTGCCTCGCGTATCGCGGTACTCCTTATGGGCAAGCACAAGCCGATTTGGGACCCCTCGACCGACTGCGGCGACTACGTTGTCGTCACCAACTGCGCAGCACTCTACACGACGGGCAACAAGAAATGGCGCAAGGAATACCACCGCCACAATACACGGCCAGGCTCGCTCAAGACGGTGACCATGGACGTACTGATGGACAAGTTTGGCGGCGCAGAGGTCCTGCGGAAAGCTGTCAGCGGCATGTTGCCCAAGAACCGCCTGCGGGAGAAGAGACTCGCCCGGCTCAAGGCCTTTGAGGGCGACGCACACCCCTACAAGCAGAACGTCGTACGATTTGGCGGCCTTGCGGTCGGCTCCGAAGGCTGGGAGGAGGCCGTTAAGGCGATACGGGACGCTGACAAGGTCATATTATGATGAGCGAGGACCTTGCGGGGCAGCATCTAGGGAAAGGAAAGTTTTTTTTGAAAATTAAAATCACAGCGTGTATTTCTATGTATAAATATCAACTTCAAACCGGAGATTTTTCATTTCGTTTAGAAAGGCGTCTTTTGCGGCGTATATGTCTGAATGGTGGCGGTTGGGAGTAAAGGGGAAACACAGATTACTAGACCGAAAATAGGCATGTGGGAGTAAATAATGCGAACGAACATCGCATGGTCATACGAGTATGGAGAGAGGTAGACTACCAAACAAAATGAATCCCCAAAGTGCGCCAGGGTTATGCAACATGAAATGCACTTTAAATCCCCTAGGAAGATCAAATACCCAGCAGAAACGACAAATATCTACATCCACCCACGTACCTATGCCATGACCTCGCTCATCTAGCGAGACACCTCACAGATGATAAGGCCGTTAGGACCAGACTGCGGCGCAACCACTTCGGCATCCGCACGCGTGTTCTTCGTGCCCTTGTACCAAGACATGTCAATGTCAAAGTAGTGCTTGTTGGGCAAAGAATACGTGACGGTCGCGACGTCGGGTGTAGTCTCCAGAATCTGTTCGGCCATTTTGTACATGGTGGCTTGGACCGAAGCACTCTCGTCGTTGGCAAAAGTCTTCATCGTGATGTTGCGGGAGTCCTCCCACGCCTTGTCAAACAGGGCCACATTCTCCTTCACGCCCGCCACGTTGGGAAACGACTTCCAGGTCCACGTGCAGTCAACGTCGGTGCTCAGAATGCGGTCCCAGGTCTCGGGCAGCGTCGTATACTCGTCTTGGATGTAGCCATGGAAAGCCGAGCCGGTGCTCTTCAGAACTGTCAGGCCAGTAATGCTGCTGTTCAGCTCAATGCTGTCGCGGGTGACCACGGCCTTGACGTTGCGGGTCTCCTCGCTGTCGCGCAAGAAGCTGTGAGGGTGATCCGCACCATCAATCACCATGCGCGTCCAGCGGTGCACCTTGACGGAGACGTGTGCCTTGGATATGTGCGCATAGGTCTCGAGGAAGTGTGAGCCCAGGATGCTGGCATACAGCTCAGGCGGGTTCACGGGGTTCTCCTTCGCCTTGATGTAGATGGTATTTTTAATCGAGTCGGTTGCGACAATCACACTGTTGTCGGCTTTGGTGTACCTATAGAATGCGCGAAGTACAGGTTAGAACGCTTCTGCACTTCCTTTACATCTGCATCTACTCCCAGCATAGGCCACTTACGACGTCTCAATCTCACCCTCAAGCAGACAGCATACGGTCATCTCCGTGACCGTGTGGACACCCGTCTCTTTGTCCTTGTGCACCTTGTAGACACGGACATTGTCCTTGCCGTAGCGAGCTGCCGACAAACTAGGCATTGTAGCGGTCGTAAATGGTGATGTGGGGAGTGTTGGAGGGAGCAATTGTGAAATACCAAGGATTGAGAGTGAAAACAACTACTTTGTAAATGGAGGCGGAAGATGTGACAAAAGACGGAGAGTTGGAAGGAAGCTACAAAGACAAGGGCTAGAGGGGACGGGGCGAGGCTAGCATAATATATGTCGGTCGGACGACGGTTTCGTGGTTGCTTCTGTTGCCTTGATACTACAAGCACAACTGTGCAATCTGGAAGGAGCGATAGGCAGAGATCAACTTGTTACGGCGCGCAGAGAAGCAACACAAAATCGACAAAAGAGAAATCTCGGCCGCGTGCGACGGAAAACGCCATTTCGCATCGGCCCAGAGCAAAAAAAGATGGCGCGGTGCATTATCGAAGCCCAGGATCTGGCGGGGCGCAACTTTCCATGTGCCTGACGGGCCGAACAGTCTATGATGGTTTGCAAAGCTCCGCCTGTGGTGTAGAAGGTCTGGTGGGATGTACATAGGTGAGGCACAAAAGTGGAGAACCGGAGCCCGCCGATAGCCACTTCGACGTCGGTTTTTGCTGCGGGCTTCGGAGGAATGAGCGACCCTCAAGTATATTGGAGGCAGGTGACTGTACCAGGCAGGGGCGCAGACGTTAAATATCCAGGTCGTTAATCGGTTGCAAGGAAACGCTTATCGATACGATGAATTGAGGAGATGTACGTTGTGTCAGACTCTTTTCGACGTCATCCGTCCTAAAAGATTGCACCATTTGGTTGTACGATGTATTACGGAGTACGAGTGGTGCAGTACGAAAATGTTGGTTCAGAGGTTTTCAAGAGGAAGCAGCTTGGCTGGTGGTGATTGCGGCTGTTAAGCCACAACTACACATTAGCCCCTCCTCTGAGAATATTACATAATGCAGATTACAGTGGGGTGCAGCGCCTGTAGTGTCATTTTTTGGCTTAGTCCAACATAGCAGGAGCCACCAGCCATGAAGGCCGCTGGGCTGGTCCGAGCACCATCGTGGTCCTGAAGCAGTCTGTGTTAATCGAGATAGACGACAAAACGCACAGCATCAACAGCACCGGATGCCCATCAACAGTAAAACCATTTCTTTGCAAAAGACACTCTCACAATAGGTCCTATCCACACCACGCGACAAACGATCGACTTTGGCGAGTCCCTTCAAGATTCGAACGTACCTCCCAACGGCGACCCGGTTTGCAGTAGCCTCCTTTTCGCGGTTCTCCATCCATCTGCTTTAGAATACCATGTTCTGGCTGGCCCAGTCATCGCGGACAGGCATCCGACTATAAGCTCTTTACCTGCCACCTTCCCCGGCTTGCCCTGAAAGCGACGATCCTGGGGTCGAACCTCGTGCGACGTCCAACCCTTGCATCCATCTCCAACTGCCATCGCGAATGCGCAACATCGCCGGATGTGTACGCCGGCAAACCGTGTGCACAGCTAGAAGCTGATGGCCGGGCCTACCCCGATGCTGGGTGCTTCGGCAACGCCCACACAGAGGTCCTTTGCTGCTCAGCAAACAACAGGTGCTACCACCGCGAACCCACCACGGACCAGCTTTGATCGTGATGGCCTTCAAATACCCAACTCCACGAATGTGGCCGCGTCATTCGGTGGCCGGAGCCTTGCAGCTTCTTCGGTGATGTTTACTCCTCGAGGCTCGTCACTGAACCCTTCTCCCGCTCCAGGGAGTTTTGTATCGGACACGCGCCAGGCCCCAACGTCTCGTGGCGGCTCCCGGCTTGACATGTACAACACCGACAAACTCCCAGATATCGACGATTTCGACGAAGACGATGACACGGCAGAGATCGAGCGCTCTCTTGCGGCATTAAAAGATCTCCTCAACCGGGAGCTCAAAATTAAGGAAGGCAGCGAGAACATGCTCGAAGCCCTGAACAGCAAAAAGGCCAAACAGACCAAAGACCAGCGCTTACGCGTTGAGGCAGAACTGTCTTCTTCCAACCAGCGCATCAGAGAGATTCGGAGTAAGATCACCGAGTTTCAACGACCCCGGCCGGCACCTTCGACACCCTCCAAGGTGCGCCCAGAGCCGGCTCCCTTACCAGCTGGCTTGCGGTCTCCACAACATACGTCACGCAGCGGAGCTGGCTCGGATGTGGAAGAGCAGACGGAATCGCCGACATTTGTTCTGGCAGAGATTCTACGAGCATTGGAGGTTGAAGGCATGCCCCCAGAGTACTACGTCGCCCGCGCAAACTCTCTTGTCGACCTTTTCAAGCGCCACCCAACCTTGAAATACGATCTTGTCTGGTCTGTGTTTGGCGTGCGCATACAGAACATGCTGCTTAGTGACCACAGAGAAATCATGGCAGCTGCCTACCGCATGACGCGATACGCTATCTCGGACGTCACTTCCCTCAAGAAGATCAGAACCCTCTATACGGACTATTTCGTTGTTCTGTCTCTGATCAAAGACCGCAAGGCCGATGTAGAGAGAGAGCAGGCGCTCAAATTTGTGAGAGCGTTCTTGGAAACAAAAGACGGTGTCCGCGAGCTGTCACGGGCGGTCGTCCGCACCATTGCCGCTGTGGCCGAATCAGCTGAAGATAGACTGCGCCCGATCTGCCTGGAGACATTGGCTGAGATTCTGGTTCGCGACCCGGGCCTGCTCATTGCGTCGGGTGGCCTCTCGTCTCTGTCTGAAGCCTTGTCAGATGGCTCGTACAAAGCACCGGAGAGCTTGACTTCTGCAATTCTCTTCCTCCTGGACGCACCACAGCGGAGAAAATATCTGCGACCCGGGCACGAACTGGAGGTGCTGTTTACCGCTTTCACAGATCAGTTCTTTGCTACCGAAGCGGTCCTCAAGCAGAATGCCAAAGCAATCTCCTCCGCCCTCAAGACATGGTCTGGCATCATGACTTTGTCGATGTACGATTTCCGGGCCATACGATCCCTTGTTGCGAGCCTTGCCCTTCCTAGCCCTTCCATAAGGGAAACTGTACTAGAGCTCATCTACTCGCTTCTGCGCATCAAGTCGCCAGCCTGGGCTACATCCTTTCTTGCCGGCCGCCGCTTGACCACATATGGCCGCGTGGCGAGCCTCAAGTCTTCAACAGAGGCAAAACCGTCTGGTGTGTCATATTCTGATGACGACGGTGGCGAGCAAAATTTTGTCGAGCATTATACAGCTCTTCTCCTGGCTGTGTTCATCAAATCTGACCTTCTACCTCACTTGTTGCATCTCACCCAAGATATAGACAACCCAATGCTGAGGCGGAAGTCTACCCTTCTCATCGGCGAAGTCCTCCGTCTATCGAGTCGCCTTCTTCCGCCATCATGGAGCAAAGACCTGCAATTGCTCCCAGAGCTATTTGCGGCGGCCGCAAGTTTCCAGGACGAATCGCATTTCATTGCCAGTGCTACAGTCTATCAGATTAGCAGTGTCAGTCGAACGCTGTACCGTTCAACGCCATCGTATTGGGCCACCGGTGGAGACCTTGCTCACCACAGCGTCGACTTTTCAACCCTGTTAGACGAGCAGCCCAAGGCTGGTGCAAACCTAAGCTTCGATGAAGCCACATTCCGCCAACTACAGCTTGACTCAGGCGTCGTCAACAGCTCCAACTATCTCAAGTGGAACTGGGACATTATTTTGAAGATCATCGAAGGTCCTCTGCTCAACGGGAAGCGCCTCGAAGAGGCGGTCCGCGCCTCCAAGTTCGTCAAGCGGCTGTTGAGTTTCTACCGGCCGTTCAAGTACAAGTTCTCCGACATGAAAAGCACAAAGGGCACCCAAAAATACGTCCGCGTTGGCTGTGCGCTTTTCCACACGCTGCTCCAAACACCAGAGGGCTTCCGTTATTTGGGCGACAGCAAACTGATCAGGCAAATGGCGGAGTGTCTGGCCCAATGCGATCCAACCAGTGGCATCACAGCCCAGTATCCAATGTTTGCCAAAGACAGGCTAACGGACACGCTCTGTGGTGGCTACTTGCCGATGATTGGGGTCCTGAGCAGCGATCCCAGGGGCCTCCAGATGATGGAGCGGTGGCGCATGTTCAACATGATGTACCACATTGTCGACCTGAAACAGCGGCCGGATCTGATCAAGCTGCTTTTGTCCAATTTCGACTACTCGGTCAACGGCCACCAGCGTGTTCTGCTGTCGAAAGCGTTGACCGCAGGGACAAAGGACATCCGCATCCATGCCACGAACGTGCTTCGCAAGTATGTCGTTCGATCCAGCTCGGTTGCTATGCTCAGCAACGGCGTGGGCGATTCAAAGTGGGCGATTCAGCTACTCGTGACCCAGCTCTACGACCCGGAAGTCGAAGTCTGCGCCACGGCCGTCAAGATCCTCGAAAAGGCCTGCAACAGTAAACATTCACTCGAGTTTATCGTCGAGTGCCGGCCGGCGCTCGACCATCTTGGCGAAATCGGCGCACCTCTGCTACTACGGTTCTTGTCAACCTCGATCGGCTACCACTACCTGGACGGATTGGACTACATCAGCAACGAGATGGACGACTGGTTCCTCGGTCGCAACGACGCCTACGTGGACTTGATTGAGGCAAGTCTGGCGCGAGCCTTTGTTGAGAGTTCCGACGAGCAGCTTGGACGAATACCTGTTTTCGCCGACGAGAGCGATGTCGACACAGATGCGCACATTCCACCGCACTTCTATCGCGAGCTCACACGGACCGAAGAGGGCTGCCGGCTCTTGCGCGAAAAGGGGCATTTTGACGAATTTGCCACCACCATCCGGGATTACGGTATGCAGACGGCCGATGCCGAGTTGATCACCAAGGTCAAAGGCTGCCTGTGGGCTGTTGGCAATGTCGGTGCCATGGAGCTTGGTGCACCGTTCCTCGAGAGCTGCGACGTTGTCGAGCAGGTGGTCAACATCGCGCGGCACCAGCAGATCATGAGTCTGCGCGGCACGGCCTTTTTCGTCATGGGCCTCATCTCGCGCTCTTTGCATGGCTTGGAGATCCTGTCGGAGTTTGGCTGGGACTCCAACACAAACATGCTTGGCGCATCACTTGGATTCTGCATACCGTCCGACCTGTCCCAGCTATTCTCTCTCGACCCTTGGCAATACGCATCCCCCGCATCGATCGTATTGCCGGCCTCGCAGAAGACTGCAAAAACCGAGCTGCCCGCTGTCCCCTTCCGGCCCCGGGCGGACACCATTCCAGGCGACGACACGCCGGCATCCCTTACCGCGGCAGAATCCGCCGGGGAGGCTGCCGCTGTAATCTTGGATGCCGATCCGACAAACCAACGGATCCTGGAACTCGTTGTCGACCTAGGCAACATGGTCATTGTGAAGCGTGCAGCGTCTGAGCTAATGCACATCAAAAATAAGGAGGGCATTGCTCCATTCCGGCAGCCACGACTGTTCCGCAAGGTTCTGTCGCAGCTCGAATGCCGACACTATCCGCTGAGCATCCGGCGCATGGTACTTGACCTGTTCGACCCAAGTGTGATGCGGGGCATTGTGTTTGAGGAGGACGGGGACGAGTCGGAGGAAGAGGAAGATGACTCAGAGGAGGAGGAAGAGGAGGCGCCAACGTACACGGGCAGAGGCCATGCAAACGAGGGCGGCCGAGCTGTGCAAGGAAAGCATGAAGGTGGTGAAGACGAGGACAGCGACGGCCTCGGAGAAGATACCGACGACGAGGAAGCGTCCGGCCCCGGCGACAGCGAGGAAGGGGAAGAGGAAGAGGAAGAGGACGAAGAGGACGAAGAAGACGAAGAAGACGAAGAAGACGAAGACAGCTCAGGCGACGAACAGAAAACAGAGCGGCAACGGAGCATCAGCGACCCTGCGGAGCTCCAGCGTCGCGACACGGCAAGACGACGGCCAGCGAGATAAGGCTTGCTTCCTCGGCTGGCAAAATCATCATTGTTTCTTGTACTATTATACATCTTGAGGGCCAAAACCAACCCAATACGCGGAGCGTCTTGGGTGTCTTGTTGTATTTATGAATACTACCGGTGTCACTATTTTTACAACCTTACTCGTTTTTTTTTGCTTTTTTTTCACGACAGAAAATTGCCATAAAATGAGCAAAGAACAAATAAAGTATTTTCGAAGCCTTGCTTAATGGCAGCAACATTGAGGACCATTTCAGGTGCACTATTTTATTTCCGTAGCGGTATTTCGATTACGACGCAGGCCGCTTCCAGTCCCGCCCCCACCGATTGTAGCTCCCCTCTAGCGAGAATACAAGGCATATTACTTTGTGTTGAGTGAAATACAGAATGTCCGTTTATGACCGATGATATCCTTTCCGGCCGGCCTTGGCAAAGGACATCTACAAAAATTGTCCTGCCTCCCACCCCCCCTCCCCGCCTATTTCCCGGCAACATCAACGGGACTTGCAACAAGCACAAGAGCAACAGCGATGGACAGCAGGCGGATTTTGGTGATTGCAGGCTCGGACAGCTCCGGCGGCGCGTACGTATGACCCGACTGACTTTATTGACTTTTATTTGGCTGGGCTCTCCTAGCTTCCCCCAAGTCGCTCCTCCCGCCGGTTTTCGGCTTCACAATTCTGTGATTTACTTTGCAATGACGCAGGGCAGTTGGGCGATGTTGCAGCCGGACTTATGGAAATTACTGGGCTTCATGGAGTTACTGACTTATCTGTGACGGCACAGCGGCCTCGAGGCAGACCAAAAGGTCATTGCCGCCCATGGATGCTATGCCATGACGGCCACGACGGCCCTGACGGCGCAAAACACTCTCGGCGTCTATGGCATTCATGCGATTCCGCCCCAGTTTCTAAAGCAGCAAATCGATGCCTGCTTTGACGACATTGGTGTCGATGTCGTGAAGACAGGCGAGTCATGGCAGCGCTGCGTCCCCAAACAGCGGACATTCGCTAACTAAATGAACAGGGATGCTGGCATCGGCCGAGACGATCAAGCTCGTGGCCGACACGTTGGAACAACGAGCCGTCACCAAATCTGTCATCGACCCTGTAAGTGTTGTGTTGTAGGGCTGGAAACCGGAAGACAGCATGGAAAGGCACTGTACATCGTGCTAATTGCCAAACGTTTCCGGCTTAGGTCATGGTAGCCACGACAGGCGCAACATTGCTGCCACCGGAGGCCCTGGCCGACTTTGGTAAACTGGCCAGACTTGCCTACGTTCTGACTCCCAACATTCCTGAGCTCAAGCTTCTGTTGGGATGCAAAGACGAGCCCATTGAAACGGTCGCAGATCTGGAGCGGCTGGCGCGGCTGGCGTGCGACAACCTCGGCTCGACATGGGTGTTGGCCAAGGGTGGCCACACCCCATTCAAAGCCGACTACAGTGTCGCCAAGACGGACGTAGACCGGGCACTTATTGTCAACGTTCTCGCGGGGCGAGATGGCCAACTGATCCGCATCGAGAGCCAGTACCAAGACTCCAAGAACACCCATGGAACGGGCTGCTCTTTAGCATGTAAGTTTTGTCTCGGTGATCCTCGTGGTATAGGTATCCGATTCGCCGTCTAAGTCTTTTCTTCGACTCCTCACAGCCGCCATTGCGTCAAACCTGGCCACGGGCCTAGACGTCGAGGCCGCAGCTCGTGCTGCATGCCGGTACGTCGACGCCGCGATCCGCCACGCACCCCGCCTTGGCAAAGGCCACGGTCCTCTCAACCACTTCCACTCGCTCTTCGCTCTGCCGTTTTCCCGTGGCCATTTCCTGGACTATGTCCTTGAACGTCCTGATGTCGTCGACATCTGGCACCAGTTTGTCAACCACCCGTTTGTCAAGGCACTCGGTGCGGGCACCCTGCCCCGCGAGTCCTTCAAGGGCTACCTGACCCAGGACTACCTCTACTTGGTGTGTGCTGTCGCTGACCAGTCTCGTGCCACCCTACCACACGTCCTTGTTTCCCGAACACCAAACAAAAAGCGCATACCATGAGACTTCCTAACAGGCACCAGGTACATTTTGCACGAGCGGGCGCGCTGGCCGCGTACAAGTCCAAGAACATGCCGGACATTGTCAGCGTGAGTGGTATCGCAGTCTTCGTCGAGATCCCGGTCCAACCTTTTCTAACTGGCAATTTGTGCCCAAAAGTCGGCAGCTCTGGTCCAAGGAGTGGAGCACGAGATGCAGTTGCATCTGAAGTTCTGTGCCGACTTTGGCCTCACCAAAAAAGACATGGAGGCCACTGAGGAGAACATTGCCTGCACTGCCTACAGCAGATACATCCTCGACATCGGCCACTCGGAAGACTGGTTTGCCCTGCAGGTTGCACTCGCTCCCTGCGTGCTTGGATACGGCGTCGCGGCTCGTGCCCTCCATCAGACGCATGCCACGAACAAGGACGACACACACCCGTACTGGAAGTGGGTAGAGAACTACACCAACGACGACTATGGTGTCGTGGCCAAGGCAACAATCGGTACGCCTGCACTGCTTTGCTCCCAATACAAACGTGAAGCCGGCTGACCATCAGAACAGACAAGATCGAACGGCATGCCGTCCTGCAGTCGGCCTCCAGAATTGAAGAGTTGATCAAGATCTTCAAGCAAGCGATCAAGGTACATATTAACCCTAGCCCGGCTTCATTTGGTTGCTTGTTCACTGCTGACGACGTGGGATGATACAGATGGAGATTGGCTTTTGGAATATGTACAGCGCAGAGTAATATGCAGCGCGTTGGGCTTGGTGCGCTATTCATACGGCGGCGACCCACCTAAAACTGCACTAACTCGGTGGCTGTTGACCGCCTTTGCTGGACCTGTGGCTCTTAGGACCAAAAGACTCACACTCAAACGGCAATATCACGTGATGTGGCGACAGCAACGAGGCGGATAAGATAACAAAGGCTGGCAAAATACCAAAGAAAAAGAGAAAAGTGGGTCTGTCTATGCTGGGACAGGTCCTTCTTGCCTGAAATTTTCAGAAAGCGACTAGACTAGCCAGAGAAAAAAAAGTTTCGATAGAAAATTCTCAACTTTCCTCCTGCTCCCTTTATTCCCATCCTTTTTCATCACCGTTGCTCCCTCCCCTTCCTCTCTCCTTCTACACAGCCTCTCGCTTTTCGCTCATCCATCGTTTCCTCCTCATTTTTCGACAAGCATCGCCTTTTGCACCCCGACACTCCTTCGACTTCGCGCCCCCCTGAACTCCTGTCGCCTTCTCGCTCTTATCTCTCTTCCCCTAGCAACCAAAACAAAACAATTTCGCAAACAATGTCTTACGGCGGCGGTTACGGCGGCTCGCGCGGCGGCGGCGGTGGCTACTCCAATGGCGGCCACCGTGATGGCGGCTACTCCAACGGGTACGGGTATGTCTTTTGGTGATGCGACAGAGTCGGCCGCTCCTCGCCTTTGGCAGGCAGCTACAGTCAGGTTCCAGAGTCTGTATTTCAGATCGGGCGTCGATTGAAACTGCGGGTCAGCGACAAGTGGTCTTCTCTGTTCTTGATCTCTTTGGCATTATTTTCTTTCTTTCTCTTCGTCCTCTCCCACTTTCTTGTTTAGATATCATTGTGCTAACATGTCTCTTTCAGCTCTCATGGTGGTGGTTACGGCGGCGGCTACGGCGGTGGTGGCGGTGGCTACGGCGGCGGCTACGGTGGCGGCGGCGGTGACCGCATGTCTGCCCTCGGCGCCAACCTGCACAAGCAAGAGTGGGATATGGATGCCCTCCCCAAGTTCGAGAAGTCCTTCTACAAGGAGCACCCCAGCGTCACCGAGCGCTCGTCTGGCGAGGTCGAGAAGTTCCGTCGCGAGCACTCCATTGCTGTCACTGGCAAGGACGTCCCTAAGCCTGTCGAGACCTTTGACGAGGCTGGATTCCCCCGCTATGTTATTGACGAAGTCAAGGCCCAGGGCTTCCCTGCTCCCACTGCCATTCAGTCCCAGGGCTGGCCCATGGCTTTGTCTGGACGTGACGTTGTCGGTATTGCCGAGACCGGTTCCGGAAAGACCCTGACCTACTGTCTGCCCTCCATTGTTCACATCAACGCCCAGCCCCTGCTGGCCCCGGGTGACGGCCCTATCGTCCTCGTCCTCGCCCCTACACGTGAGCTTGCTGTCCAGATCCAGCAGGAGATTACCAAGTTCGGTAGATCCTCGCGCATCCGCAACACTTGCGTGTACGGCGGTGTGCCCAAGGGTCCCCAGATTCGCGACCTGTCGCGCGGTGTCGAGGTGTGTATCGCCACCCCGGGCCGCCTGATTGACATGCTCGAGTCTGGCAAGACCAACCTGCGTCGGGTCACCTACCTGGTTCTCGACGAAGCCGACCGCATGCTGGACATGGGTTTCGAGCCGCAGATCCGCAAGATCATTAGCCAAATCCGCCCCGATCGCCAGACCCTCATGTGGTCCGCAACCTGGCCCAAGGAGGTCCGCAACCTCGCCTCCGATTTCCTGACCAACTTCATCCAGGTGAACATCGGCTCCCTCGACCTGTCGGCCAACCACCGTATCACCCAGATTGTCGAGGTTGTTACCGAGAGCGAGAAGCGTGACCGCATGATCAAGCACCTCGAGAAGGCTCTCGATGACAAGGAGAAGTCCAACAAGGTCCTGATCTTCACCGGAACCAAGCGTGTCGCCGATGATATCACCCGCTTCCTGCGCCAGGACGGCTGGCCCGCACTGTCCATCCACGGTGACAAGCAGCAGAACGAGCGCGATTGGGTTCTTGACCAGTTCAAGACTGGCAAGTCGCCCGTCATGGTTGCCACTGATGTGGCTTCCCGTGGTATCGGTATGTATACTACAAGCACCCGCCACCCCGTCCCCTACGCTTCCCATCATACTTTCTCACTCCCAACTCTTGTCCATGATGCCCCTTACCACCTCCCCTTTATCGTGATTGATCGATCGTTCGACACCGTCGCCCATTTCCAACCAAAAGCCTTACGTCTGCATCCCTTCACCGTCCCCTCCACCCATCATCATCTTCCCAAAAATCTACAACGCCAACAGCAACGCGAGCTTTGTCGTGCTTTACTCTTATGTTTAGGGGCTTTCTTGATTGCGCAAACTTGACACAACTGGCCTTCTCTCGAGCTTCGTGCTCTTGGCTTTGCCAGTCTTTTTACAGGTGATGTCTTGGGTCGGACGCGTTGCAAAGAGCAAGAGAAAACAACGTCAAGCGGTCTACCGCTCTGCGCCTATCTCGCTCTTGATATCCTTCGCTCCTGGTCCTATACTTGTACCGGTTCTTTCTCTCCCCGTGGTTCAAGTGTAGGGTTGGCAATTGTCTTGATTCCCTGCCTCTGGTCTGATCAAGTTGTCTCCAAGGCATCAGTTCCTACCTGGAATAGGTTCCAGGGACCTTTCCCATGGAACCACCTACCGTCATTTTTTCTCAGGCAGAAAAAAACACACGCAGGCTCTCCTTGCGGTCGCGTATGTCGGACGTCGTACGACGTCTCCTGTGTTTTTTTCTTTCTCCGCAACGGACAGCCCCATATACCCGGGAGCAAAGTGCTGAAAAGGGGGCTCCAGAACACGAGTACTTCCGTACACTGCGGCATACCCGCCGTAGCGCGGTCGCCTTCGTATCTGCTGGAGCCCATCGTAGTGAAATTGTTGTCGTTGTATTTTTTACGCCTTCGTTTTCCAGTTTTCGCCCGCAGCTGCTTGCGGCCACATGCCATTTGTAGTATGCTAACCAAATGCTTTTTTTCTTCTGTCATGAAGACGTGCGCAACATCACTCACGTCATCAACTATGATTACCCCAACAACTCGGAGGACTACATCCATCGTATTGGCCGTACAGGTCGTGCTGGTGCCACTGGCACGGCCATCACCCTGTTCACTACTGATAGTACGTTGCAAACCCCAAACCCCAAACCCCTTTTCCCAATTTTCACTCTTTTTGTCACATACTAACAATCGTCTCTATAGATGCTAAGCAGGCCCGTGATCTCGTTGGTGTGCTGCAGGAGGCCAAGCAGAACATCGACCCGCGCCTTGCCGAGATGGTGAGATACGGTGGTGGTGGCGGAGGCCACGGCCGGTACGGTGGTTACCGTGGTCGTGGCGGTTACCGCGGTGGCGGACACAGAGGTATATTCTGAAAAGCCTTTTGTTTTTGTTTCCCCCGCGGCTTTCTATCTTGGCCTGTCCGGTTTAATTTGCTCGAAACAAAGGACTGACATTTTTCTAATCTTAGGTGGCGGTGGCGGTGGCGGTGCCAATGCCATGCCGGTCCATAACCGCCGGTGGTAAGCGATAGAGTTTCGTCAGTAACGTCCGTCACGGTTCGTCACGGGTGCTGTGCACGGAGTAGACTGTCTTTTATTTGCGAATCTCTCCCAAAAAGCTATCCAGTCTGGCAAGCGCGTTACTATCGATCCTTACTGATCCCAGTGTTCTCGCCTTGGCCAACGACGTCGTCTTGTTTTTATCGTTAATTTTCCTTTGTTTTTCCTGCCACTAATTGGTTTGTTTTTTACATCGTTCTTTCTTCCCTTGCTCTTATCACTTTTCTTACATCGTCCTTTTCATTACACCGTGGTCTGTCCTTTCTGTTGGCGTTTATGTAGAACGAGAGGCGGGAAAACATCACAAGGAAACTCTTAGACTTCGGACAATATGTCAATATACTTGGCAAATTACATCTACTTTTACCAAGAGTTTCTTTTTTTTCTTTCTCGCCGTGAGACTTGTGACAAGGTCAACACAACTACACACGTCTCTGTGTTCTTTCGTAAACGTTTTGTCCTTCGGTCGTTGTCTTTTTCCCTCGGGCAAACGCACGGCAACTTGTAAGGGCAGGGTTTGATACAGGCTTGGGCGCGAACGGGTCTGGGAAGCTGCTAAGCCTTGTTTCCAAAGTTTTGGCGCCCGTATTCGTTGGGGATAGCTGTGGGATAGCTGTGGGTGATATTGGAATTACTTGGTGGTTTGATTGTTTCTGTTTTACTTGTTTCTGTTTTACTTGTTTCTGTTTTACTTGTTTCTGTTTTATTTGTTTCTGTTTTACTTGTTCTGTTTACTTGCTTTGTTTTTCTACGGATTTTCCGATTCTTTATTGTTTGACATCTTTGGCCTCCATGTTTTTGGCGGCAATTTTGTTGCTTGTTTATGTTTTGATTTATAGTTTTTCCAACAGCCATTTTATTGAAATATTGGAAGCAATACTAATAACGGTGATTTATGTCTTGAACAAAATGATACATTAGCAATGAAATCCCAGCACTGTCTATTCATGAGTTTTATAATGAAGCGCCCCTAGCTCCACGGAGACATGGCAATCTCGATTCCCATCCTCTACGGTAAACTTTTCGGCTGAACTCTGACTTTAGACTGGTCCTCGTTGGATGCATCTGGTTATAACACTCGGTATTCCGTAAATATCTCATCGTGTCCAGCTTTTAAAACTAGCCTTAAGGCGCCAGGTTTGTCGCGCTGTAATGTCGTAGAGCTGCTAGGTTCGGGTCTGTATCGAGAGCCTTCATATTCCTGGTTGCTTCTCACGTGTGCAGCACTAAGGACTATCAAGAATCAAGGAAGACGAGGCTGGTCATGTTGCACAGGAACCAAAGTGAACCAGTCCAAGTTAAGACGTTTTAAAAACGCAGCTTACGGTTTCACCACAGGAATAACTCTAGGAAAGAAGTGGACTTTTCCTTGCAACAGCGGAGTACGATAGTAGACCAAGGGGAAGAAAGCCATGTGGCTTTCTTCACGCCAGCCCTTGCGCCGGCGCATTTTTGACGCCGTTTGATGGAAGCACAGCATCTAAACGAAGCAGCTTTGGACCTAGCGGCAACGGCGGCTCGGCGACACGTTCGCGCAAGGCTGCGAAACGCTGCTAGTCGTTCTGTAGCGCGATCGACGTTTTCGTGATGGAAAACAAATACGGAGATGTACGAAGTAGATATACAGAGAACGACATACAGAGTGCGATAGATATGTAGCTTGTCAATGACACACAAACTTTGTAAGTACAATGGAATTACGTCGCAATTCCGCACGGAATAGGCGACCGATGGCCGTCGGTCGATGTTCCCTCTCTTCTCCTCGCGACTGGCCCTTGTTCCCTGTCTGTTTCCCACCACCCTCATTTGTCTTCCCAGTCCTGGGCCTGGTCACATCAAAAGCGCGATGCTTTGAGTGGCGATGCGCGTATTTGGGGGCTGAACCCAGGCCGCAATTTACCGTGCCTGGTGCCAGAGGTCCCTCTCTGGTCCTTGTCATCCAAAAGGAACCAAAAACGACCGCATGGTCACGGAACCGACCTGCCGTCATTTCTCAGCTGCCCCTGGACTGTGCTCAGCGCGATGCGACACTGGGGCGTGCTTGAGAAATCGGCCTAGTGATGCTCCGTAATGATTGCTGTTCTCTTCCGATGGACACTTTCTCATCGACGGAGCATCCTACAGAAATGCTCAGAGCGGCCGTGAGTTTTATCACTTTCTAACCCTACTTCTTTCTTCGGCCAGCTCTGTTTGGTCGTTCCTGCTCTGTATTCTTCTCCCCTTCTGAGCTCATCCGATATACCCTGCTCTTTCTGTTTCGAGACACCCCTTTTCGGCCTCCTCCTTTCTCCGTCTTCTTTCCTTTCCTGTTTGGACCCCAGCTCTGTACCTTCTTGTTTGGTCATGTTTTCCCCCCTCCCATCTATCGTTTCCTCTTGGCACCCCCCCTCCCTAACCATTCCGTTCTTCTTCTTTTTTCTCAGCTCATGTTGACACCCCGGTCTCACCTGTCGCGTCTTTATTCTTCCCATTCGTTATTTCCTTTTGATCACTTTCCTTTTTCGCGGCTTACCTGGTTTAGCTTAGCCGAGATTCGGAATCGTTGAGGTAAGAATGGCAGATTGGCGTCCACCACAGCGCCGGGAATTTCAAGGGCTGCCCAACGGCACCAACTATCCTTTCTTGTTTGGGTCTTCCTGTGATTGTTGACCTGCCCCTACCATTCAGGGTGTGATGTCGCACTCTAACTCCTTTGCGCCGGCGTTGAGGGTAGCTCATGCAGTTAGTCGGTAGTGCCCCGACACCCTGCAAACAAATCGTTCGCCCTGCAAAAGGGGGCTATTCATTCTGTGAGGGCGCAAAGGTGCGGTGCGATGTCACGACGAAACAATTGACGAACGGCACTACTTCTTCTTTACTGTATGCCACTAATACCAGCAGGTCGGTAACCGGTGAAAAGTTACCGACGCGTTGTGCAGGAAATGAGTGTCACAGGACGTCCTCGTAATTATTGCTCTCCCTCTCACCGCACTTTCGTGTCTGTGGGATGGTGAAAATGGAGCCTTTCTCTAGAAATAGGGGGGGAACGATGGTCTCACGTGTACGATCCTGACATGCGGTTTGGCATGCCCTTGATTGAGATTGCCTTTTTATTTTGGCATTTGCTTCTTTATTCCCCTTGAATAATGTCGGCTGCGGCGGGAAACAGGAAAAGAGGACATGGCAGGAACATGTACGAATTAAGGACGTTGCATTCCCTTGTATTCCATCCAACAGCCGCTGCTTCTGCTCCGTATATTTTACTCCTTCTCCCTCCATCCCAATCTGCTCCTGTTCCAGCATATTACCACTTTCCGGCACGGAGACAGGGAGCATATGTAGAAGATGCAGAAGCATGCGCCATACGGAACATGTGTCGAGAACGGACATGTTTGCGACCTTGCATGGGCGGTATTGATGGCCTCGACCATTGGGCACCGGTGAATGGACAGGAGTATCAATACCCCGTCATGAGGAATGTCGTTGTATTATTGGCATGAGGCCCTGCGTTTGACCACTCCCTGTGTTTACCGTATCTCACTGCCTTGGCCTGCTGGGACTGAGTTGCGTCCGTGCTGGGAAGACAACCCCCATGTCGTGCTGTATTAGCGTTCCACTCTGCTGCATTGCCTGCCCGAGGGTGCATTTCACAAACACGAGCCAGGTGTATGTAAAATGTGCGATGGCGGCCAATGATTGAATGCTCCCCTCCACCAGTACAGACACTGGGCGGTGCGCAGGGTATTTCCACCGAGACTTCTCCGTGCGTC